GTGTTTGTTTCTTTTTTACAACTAATATTCAGATAAAATGTCCCGAGAAGGAAAATAATATTATTGACAAATGTGACAAAGAGGTGTGAAAATGCTTCATTCTCAGGAGTCATGACTACAGACAATGATCAGCCGTGGCAGGTATAGTGTCACACATTTGTGTGTGTGTGTTGTGTACAGGTCACACACTCTCGAGGCCGATACATGAGGGCTGTATATGTTCTACCTCTTATCTGTCTCCTGTGGGCCAATGTGCTACTCTCTTGACTCTTCGCCGCCTCTCTCTTTGCTTTATTTAATCCCCCTTTTTCTGCTGCTTTCAGGAAATAATTCAAAATATATGACTAAAGCAGCGTAATATAGCACACATCAGGCAGAGCTTCAGCTAACATGAATATGTGTGTCATGAAGGGATCGTGCGATGGAACTGGTTGTAATTCTACATTTCAGAGAAGCTAAACCTGCTCATGGGAGCACTCTGTGAAGTGTAGCATCGCCTCACTGCGGCCCCCTCCTCCCCCGGGGACCTGCTGATTCAGCACTATGCACTCGACGCATTTGAAAAGCAGTTAGCCTGCAAGATAGTGTCATGCATGCAACACGGATACAAATAAATACACCCATAATGACTAGTCCCAAACTTGATTCGCTGTTGTGCACACACTGCTTAGTCCTTATCCCCTAATCAACGACATTGCTAATTATTATTAGCAGCTAATTGCCGTATCCTGTTGTTTCATTTCAAATGGAGCGTGAAACAACAACAGCAACACTGGTCTGTTCTGTGATGGGGATTAGTAGAAAAATCCTCCTGATACGGTCAAACAAATGCACACATGCAGCAGAACTATGAAAAGACGTGCACACTGACTGCAAAGGGATGAAAACAAGCATCCACACGTTCCTCAACACATGAGTAAGACTGATGACTGCAGCTGCACACACGTGTGTAAAAAACAAACCAAAAAAACACGCGTGCACACCGGCTGAGCAGCGCACTCTACTGGATTACTGAAATTCGGTTAACTTCGATTGATTTAGGGCCTTTTTGAAACATCACAGCAGTAGCTATTCACAGCAGCCTCGCTGCTACAGGTGAAAGGGTTTGTGCACCATTTTCAACAGTAAATTGAATTCCAAGGGGTTCGTATTTGGCTGATGAAGCATATGCCAAGGTGGTATATTTAGCCCATGCAGGCTTAGTGCAAGTACTGCAAGCCAAAGATCGATCGTCCCTATAAAAATAACACAGCACCATAAATCCTGGTGTAGCAGGAATTGAGAGAAAAACTCTTGTCACGTCAAAATGTGTCCTGGGGTCGAGAAAAAATTAAATTAAATGAGAACATGTGACAGTTATACCCATTCATCCAAGTGTGTGCAGTATTAATTAATTTATTCAAACGGATTAGAGCCCAGATTGAGCGCTCATTCATCCAGATCTCACTAATATAATCTGCCTCTAAACATTTCATAGCGATTTATCTCTCTGAGCTGCGCCGCCGGCTGAGCGCTATTTATTCTGTTGTGCTGGAGTCTTAGGCTCTTCTGTCGGGCCTGAGAAGGAGTTTATCTGCATCCAGCTGCCCGCCGTCGCAGCTCCTTTTGTTCTCCCTCCCACCCCCCACCAACCCTTGGTGCCGCCTCCATTGCGCTGGGCTCCCCACACTTATTGTTAAATCCTGTTACCGGAGCCAGACGCCACTTTCTGCACTCCGTTGCGGTCTTTGAGCAAAATCATAAATAGGCCAAGCTGTTGAGTTACAGATGCTGCCGAAAATACACTTGTGTGCTGTGTTCCCATTCTTACTCATCCTCCACCCACACGTTGGGATTTTCTGGTTGACGCCACTGTGGGACGTCATCAGGAACTTGTTCCAAAAATAATTTTTGCCGGTGAATGCAACCGTTTTTCCAAGATGATGTAGTAGTGATCGCAGCAGCAGCATAAAGTCAGCTTTGCAGCAGCACCGAGCAGATTCTACCTTTTTATTTTGTAACTATTATGTCGTAATGGCATGTAGACACAGGGATGAATGTCTACAGTTAATCCATATCCAGTCTTTCCTCTGGCTTTCAACTTAAATCCAAATCTTAAATCGACCCCAACCTCAATTTTTAATTTCATAAAATCTTACTTCTCATCTGAGCCATAAACCATAATCCTCAACACAAATGAGGCTTTTTAAGATGTTTTTTTGCAATGACCTCACTACCTCACGCTGTCTCTCAGATGGATGGAATCACACAAACCTGTAGCCGCCCCCCTACATCTCAGATGCCACCATGATAAGGGTGTGCGAGGAGGAAAGAAAGGAGAAAAGGAGAAGGGAGGCAACTAAAGGGGGAATAAGACCAAGTAGAACGGTGTGAGGAGTCCAGGAAGGAGCTACTGGAGAAGGCCAGAGTGAGTTATTCAGTCATCAAGGGCCTGGTCTGTTCAGTCCGGGGTAACGACTGTGTGCCTATAATCTACCAATCCACAGACCCGGGGGAGTAAACCCATCTGAACCAGTACTACATCCAGCTCCCACACCAGCTGGAGCTGGCTGTTAGCCCGCATGACTCACCAGTGGTAACAGTGCACTCGGGTGGAGAAAGATGTTTGTGCTGTTTGTTTTTTTTTGTTGGTGTGCATGAGTGCAATTGTGTGCGCTAATGTAGGACGTATGAGTGTTTCTCTTCTAAAAGTCCAATCTCCTCGCTCTACTGGGCGTTCAGAGTATAACCAACAGTTGTAGCAGCTTGCTGATCCAAGTAGCTTCCAATCAAAGTTTTTAGCTGTTATCTATAACGGAGGCTTTAAACGAACTCATTGTGCGAGAACAAGATATGACAGCTGATGATGACAAAACCTTGGGAAGGTGACTTTCATGAGCTCTGTAACGTGATCTATCGCATCACTGCTCATGGAATTGTCTCTGAGCCTCACGTTGACTCTCTGTACACAGCAAACGGGATTCCCTGGTCGCGGCAGCTTGAGGTTGTGCGGCGCTTTGCTCAAGATGTCGTCTAATCCGCTGTCTCCCCTGAGAGATTAGCTCTGTCACCAGGGCTGGGAATTAGACCGCAAGTGGCGTTGGAGATACTGACACAGACACAAAGCTGAGACTAGACCGGGGGGGGAATATGGGAGGCGAGCGGGACGGGTGAACGTCAAATAAATAACTGGAAAAAACTGTGAATTGCGGTGTGTCATCGTGAAAAAAATATAGATTTCATCACTTCCATTTTATTACTTTTGACATGTAACATAATATTTAGAGTATTGCATCGCTGCTTTGGGTTGCACCAGCAAAGAAGACGGAAAATACTTCTATGTCTCCTGCAGTAACATGTTGATAAAAGACAATGACAAAATATTGAGCAAAATCCCTCCGTATAAGAACTTCTTCTGCGTTAAAAAGACAGCTACTTCAGGAAGGTGAAATACTGCGTGTCACCGAACTCTGCTTGAGTCTCTTCCTGCAGCTGTGACCTTCCACAATATGGTTGCGTTCATCTTTTGGGGCTGTTTCTAAGTGGCCGCTCCCCTCCTGCTGCAGAGCCAGCGACTGAGTCAAGGTCTGTCCCCGCTGGGGGCGAAACCCGTTCCCCCTCCCACTTTCCAGCCGTCAGCCCATGAATGATTCACGCTGTCCTACTGGTCTACTTTGGCGGGCAACAGAGCGAATAGTTTGTTTTGTACAAGGCCTTAAAATGAGGGGGAAGTAGAAGACGACCATTGTATCCTAAGACATCCGCAGCTGAAACCCTGATGAATAAAAGTCTGTGCGCTGAGCTCCTAATTGGGTAAAATGCTTCATTCTCGTGTGGTAAGAATCCACACAAACAATTAACTCTCATTCATGAAAATAGTCTAAATCATTTGCCTTATAAATGACTTTTACAAATGGTATTTTAGGGGTTGTTTTTCTGTGTAATCTAGATGTTGAATGATAATCATTTTGGAGGTCTTACTGAAAATACTGATGTCATTTTATGTTTCCTACAGAAGAGCATTGCTTTACTGATCGCCAGAACCTTTAAATAACTCTGACAGGGAAGCAATCTGTTCCTGGAAAAGGTTCACACTTGGAAGCTCTGCACTCACTCTGCATTTATAGAGTGGGATTTCTTCCTCTCTGTCTCTCTCGACATTTCCTCTCTCCTTTCCTTTTTCTTGTCTCACAGACGTAATCAAATTGAATGATTTTATTAGTTGCTCAGACTAAGCCGGCGTGCAGAGGACCCTGTTTCATCCGGGCTTTGCGTGCTGCGCCTGGTACAGTATTCGCTTCAGGACAGTTTTCCCCCACTGGACAGGCAGATGCTTTTCCCCCCCGGAGCGTTGTGGAAGCAGCATGTGCCACTGAGCCGGGATAAGACGTCTGTCACACTGAGCTCTGAATGGGATCTAAAACACGCTGGTGCTTTACACTTGGATGCAAAAAAATAGACACAACAGAAAATCATCTGTAATTTGAGGTTTTGAGTTGTTAATGCCGAGCTGATCATTTCCAACATGTAAATCAGACGGTGTCCGTCCTCTCTGCTCGTCCGCTCGCAATCAGACCGACGCGGTTAGCAGATGTTGGCCTTTGATAGCGGCTATTACCATTACGACGACAGTGATTATGTCATGTGATCTTCAGCCTGCATTGGAGTAACTACTTCCTTATTAGACGTGGATTTGACCTGATGATGGAAATGTTACGTAAGACGTCCACGTAGATTAATGTTCTTCTGGCCTTTTGCAGAGTCTGCTTCATACAAGACGGTGCAAATAGTTACAAATGTATTTGTTCCAACTGATTGGTGTTATGTCTTTCTAAACACTGGCATTGAGATCTATGGACGTCAACCCAAAACTGCAGAGATGCTTTGAATTCACAAAGCCAATTTTTTCGCTTTTATCATTGTGCTGTTTTGTTTAATTTATGTTTCCCTTGAGGAGTGAAAGTGAATCATGTTGAACATGATTAAAATGTTTTACATCCTCCTTCTTTGTTCTTTTCCAGACTGCAGTGAGGAGACGAGGAAGCAGGGAAACATTTAAAGATAAGAAGTCCACGAGTCAGGTAAAAACATTTTTAAAGATATTTTTTTCCTCAGAACTCATCATCATAAAACATTTCATGCTGTGGGCATAAAATGATCAGCTTTCTTGATGTCAACAAATCCCCTGAAAACAATACTATGTACCGGCTGTGTAGGCGAACCTCTGCAGTGTATAAATAAATTATATATATATATATAAAACGTTTTAATTGCGACTTCCTCATCGCTATCACCCTGCTAGGAGGACAGTGCAGACCTCAGATGCCAGCTCCAGTTTTCCAAAGAGGAGTCCGGCCTGATGAGAAAGAAGATGGCGAAGCTCGGTCGGGAGAAGGACGAACTGGAGCAGGAGCTGCAGAAATACAAGTCGGTCTACGGGGACGTGGACAGTCCCCTTCCGCTGGCCGAGTGCTCCGGCGGGGGTCCTCACACCACCCGAGAGGCCGAGCTGCGCTTACGGCTCAAGCTGGTGGAGGAAGAGGCCAACATCCTGGGCAGGAAGATCGTGGAGCTGGAGGTGGAGAACCGCAGCCTGCGGGCGGAAAACGAGGACATCCGAGTTCAGTACGAGAGAGACTGCTTTGGGCGGGAACCGTTCTCCAGCATGCCCTCGTCGCCCTACGGTTGCGACGCGCTCGATTCGGCGAGCGAGCTGCGTCGCCACCTGCAGTTCGTGGAGGAAGAGGCCGAGCTGCTGCGGCGCTCCATCTCCGAGATCGAGGACCACAACCGGCAGCTGACGTCGGAGCTCAATCGCTTCAAGTTCGGACCGGGCAGCGGCAGCTCTGTCGGCGAGGAGGCCGGCGAGGGAGGCCTGTTCAAACCCGGTAATGGAGGAACCGGCAACGGCTCCAGCAGTGGGATGATGATGATGGAGGAGCTTAAATCGGCCCGCATGCAGATCAACGAGCTGAGCGGAAAGGTGATGAAGCTGCAATACGAGAACCGGGTCCTCGTGTCCAACGTCCAGCGCTGTGACCTGGCCGCGCACCTGGGCCTGCGCACCGGCAGCCCCCGGGACAGCGACGCGGAGAGCGACGCAGGGCGCCGAGAAGCAGCCGAGGAAGAGGAGGCCGGCCGTCTTCTCCTCCTCCACCCCAAGAGAGAGGGGCCGATCGGGGGCGAAAGCGACTCCGAAGACCTGTTTGAGAAAACCGCGACCACCTCGGGGTTCGGAAGCGCCAAGCCGTCGGACGGCAGCGAGCTGAGCGCCGCGGAAATGGCCAACCGCCGGAGGGAGGAGCGCGAGTCGTTCACCAACGTGAAGCGCGAGGCGGATCGGCTCGGCAAGACGGTGGACCGCCTGATCACGGACACGGACAGTCTGATCTTCGAGGGCAGGCTGCTGGTGACGACGGGAGAGAGCCCGGAAGAAGCGGAGGCGCCTGGATCCAAACCAGACACCCAGGTCCTGGACACCATCAACACTCGCATGAAGGCTTTCCGCACTGAGCTACACATCTTCATGGAGAAGCTGGACCACGTGGGGGAGGGGCTGAGAGAGAGGACGGACGATCTGTCCCCCATGCCGAACCTCACGGAGTCCAGCAGCTTCCTGTCTACAGTCACCTCCATGTCCCGGGACTCTCCCATCGGCACCTTTGGAAGAGACCTGGCTACAGACTTCCAGGTAAGTCCCAGGGATGAACTTCTTCATCCTTTTCGGCTGCTGTTGGTGACGTCCCTCAGCATATTGAGAGGTTTTCTTTCCCTGGCTGCTTGGTACTTTTGCATGAAGAGAAATCTCGGAATAATAATTGAGGAGAAAAGCACGTCAGCAAGTATGGCAGTTAGCGATGATGAGGAAAAAGTCAGTACTTTATATTATGCAAACAAGTTCTTCTTTTAAAATCTTCCATCAGGACATTGATTGGCATCGAACTTCAAAAGCAGCCCTTCTGATCTGTCTATAGCATGAACGAAACACTACTGCACCAAGTAGCTTCACAGCAATACACAAAGGTCATCCAGATCAAATAGCAGACAACCACGAGAAAACCCACGTGTGTATTTGTAAATGTGACAATTCATTTAGGTTTAATTTAAAATGGCCCTAAGTGTGCAGTGTTAGTTCAGTATTCAAGGCCCAAGAAATAAATAAATGAAATAAAGAACGTGTCTCTAATTAAAGACCGTGACAGAGCTGTGCGTCTCCACCAGGACTCACACCGTCCACAGCCATGCCTGTCAATGTGAATCTCATTAAGTTGGAGGGCAACATGGCTTCAGGATGGGTTCGGATTCTTTCAAGTCTATCTTACTTCAATATTTATATGCCAGTCTGTTGAGAGATCATTCTGACCTTTTTATGAAATAGAGGAGAAAGACAATAAGATGGGGAGCTCTGTGACGTATAACTAAGGTGTGCTGTAGGAAGACCATAAGTTTGAAAATGTTAAATGCCATTAGCCGCTACTGGCTTCTAGTTGAGGTTAAGTGTCTTTGTGTTGTGGAGGCGGCAGGTTTTGAAGAGAATGCAAGAATGCATGAAGTAAAAAGAGAACAGGGATCTCTTCTGCATAGATTTCAATCGCTTCTCTTGTTCTTTTGACGGTTTATCGCAACTATACTGTTAATATTGGACTTTACCAGTTTTAGTTTGCCAAATTTGTGTCCTCTCTAAGAGGTCGGACTTATTCTAACTTGGTCTTAAGGCAAGATCAGACTGAACAGGAACCTCCGCGGAACACAGGCCGGGAAGTCATGATCCTCTATGTTTTATTTTAAACAGGAGTCCGTATAATCACCACAGATATATCAGAGCATCACTAGCTTGATTGAGGTTGGACAGACTTGAAACATCCGACCCTCTTCTTTTTTTAAGCCCCAATTAACAACATAAAGAGACGTCCTAATCAGCGGCCGCGCTCCGACCTGAGCCACCCAGCTCTACCGCGCTGGCATTAACCCGCCGCCCCTCCCTCCAAACCACCATCGCCATCAGCTGCCGCATTTACATCTGCATCTCCATGCACATCCTCACAGCCGGCGGCCCTGCCCGCCTCTCTTTCCCTGCGCTCACTCAGCAGGGTGCTTGACCGGGTGCTCGGTATGAATGGAGCACTAAAGGCGTAGTGGCAGCTTCTTCCATTTGGCCTGATTCAAAGCTTTTGCCGTCGTGTGCATGATGCAAGTATTTTTCCCACTGGCAGCTTTGTTACGCCGTGCCGTCGTCTGCGTGACTTGTTATGAGGCACGAATTGGTGTAGCTATTATGTTGGCACCACAGATCAACGCTGACAGACACGTGGGATTGGTTACTCCACGGCGCGTTGCCAAGGAAACCAACCGTAATAAAAATAAATGTGTGCACTGTCTAAAATAACCTCTGTTGGATAGAAGAGAGAGTTGCATGGCGCTGCGGTGCGAGTGGCCTGTGGAAGAACCCCGCTGGCTGTTCTTGTCTTATCGCCTCGTAAGTCGAGCATGTCAACACACCGTCTACTCTCCCAAAGCAGGTTCATTATGTCAGACGGAGACCTCGGCAGCGCAAACGTTTTGGCACTTCAAGAATCCAATCCGCTTTGTAGCAGTGAGAGAGTGAAGCCTCCGGCACGCCGATTCTATCTGCCAATGACTTGTTTGTGCTTTGCTCCTTTGCCTCCACGGCTCTCTGGTTAGTCTGGATGAAGCTGGGTGGTTTTGGCGAAGCTAACCTCCGTACTGACGACTCACGCCTGTTCAAAGCAAAGAGGCCTTTGTCCACTTACAGCCCCACTGCAGCAGCAAAGACCACGTGAATATTATTAAGAAAAGGAAACATCTACAGAAGATTGAAATGTTACCTCCCTTTTATTATTGGAATCCTATAATTTTATCATTTTCATAGCATAACAACAAGCCCCGTATGTCATAATTACGATTTACAAACAATAACATTTTCATCTCATAGTTATGGAATGAATTTGTGTAACTATGACTTCTTAAAATAATAAGTATCCTGCCGTTTCAATCGTTGATGATAATGATAATGATTAGCCAGATCATCAAGTATAATTTGCATGTTGTAATTATAAGTTTTAAATATGTGATAAAAGCACAGATATGTGATAATTGTTTCTCATTAGTACTAATGGTTTATCTTGTATATAAGACATTGACATAGTGTTGGAAAACCTATTGCTTAGTTACAAGAAGCTGATTGGGAAGGAAACACAGAAGCTTGCACATCTATTACGATTTCTTTGTATCAAAATTATCTTCCAAGTGTGAGAAATGATTTTTCTTATTTATCTCGTAATCATGAAAAAACTCATCAAAGTCATCAATTTTAAAATACTTTGACTCACTTTGATGTTGATGATCTTATTATGAATTTAACATTTTTTAGCCTATATCCCTTTTGCTTATCCCATCAGGTAGAATTCAAGTGTGCAGCTCAAAGAACAATAATCCTAATAATGACTTAATGTTGTTGTAAATACAAGATACAAGATAAGTTTCAAGATATTAAAGTCAAAATAATGAGAATATGTCATAGTGCCGCACACTAACATAAAAAGAAAGAATCCTCACTGCCAGTTGGAACCAGTTTAACGACGCCTCCTGTGTATTTCAAATGCTGTGTCTTCTGAAACGATGTGCATCGTACAGCCTCCAGGTGAAACCTCCCTTAGCTGACTTCTTCTTCTTCACAACACGCAGCTTTGCACAGGCATGCGTTGTTGGAAAGCTTTGGCGTGCTAGCTCTCCCGCGCTGCAGTTTTCCGCGGTATCTCTCAGCTGTTGGTTTGGATTCATGTATCCCTCATTGCATGCGCTTCATAACAAGTGTTTTGCATTCTCCCCTCCCCCCCCACCCCCTCTCCCCCCAAACCCCTTATTCCCTCTCTTCGTTCCTCTTTGTGTTCCCGCCAGATGTTTCAGCCCATGATTTTGTTCATCCTCATTCTTGTTCTCTTCTCATCTCTCTCATACGCCGTCATCTTTAAGTTGGTCTTTCTCTTTGCGCTTTTTGTCTTACTCTAGTCAATTTGCTCTTCTTCACACCGTGTAGTCTGTTCATTTCCCCCCCCCACTAGCTTATATTCTTTACCCCTTTTCTGTTTTCTTTTTGTAAAATTTGTCCCCGCGCGCTGTTCCACTCGTCGTCCCCCCCGTCACGCTGTTTGTTGTCTTTTGGTCTGTTTTGTCCACAATCCACCTCACACATTGTTCCTAATACCACGACCATCACCTGCGCCCCACGTCCTGCACCTGTCCCCCCATCTCCCCATCCCCTCACCCCCCTCCCCTCCCCTCCTCTCCCCCACCCCTCCCCCACCCCACGTCACTCACAGTCCGTTCAGAGGGATGAGCTGGAGTGGCGTCTAGGACAGGAGCGAGGCGTGGAGCCCCAGAGCCAGAGCCAGAGCCAGGGCCAGGCCCCGAGCAGGGGAGCCAAAGGACTCACTAGGTACCACAGGCCCCTGGCTTTAAGAGCAGAGGTCAGTGCCTCCTCCCTCCCTCTCTCAATCTCCCGTTGACACTGGCTCCACACTATGAGCCCCGTACACGGGTCTTCTGTCCACCTGGACTCTCTTTTCTAATCATTTAAAAGGATTTTAAGACAAAATCTGATTTGGTTTGGTCTGGTTCTCTGTGTCCTGCAGCTCTGCAGAGCTTGTAGACGCTCCCAAAACCGTGTCATTTTTGGTTAAATTTGTTGCCGTTCAGACAAATTATATATGAATAAAAATAATCTGATCATGATTTTACAAAATGCAGCTTGAAATCATTGACACACCTTAAATGAAACAGAGTAAACGGTACAGTATAAGTGTCATTATACTGAAAATGTTGTTGTTTCTCTTTTAACGATGGCGGTCAGTTCACTTTAACAGATTAAAACCCCCAAAAATATATTTTTATAAATCTCTGACTGCTCAATGTTTTGCACGTATGTACATTTAAAGTAAAAAAATTTTTAAAGTCTGTTTGTGCCATGAGTAGCCTTCACAATCTCTACCGAAATACACAAAGTGATGCTTTGAGATTTGTTGCTTATGATCAGAAGGCCGCTCAGCCCAGCCCGTCTTTACACTCCAGCTACGGCCCATTTTGATTCCACTTTCATTCATTCTGCACTAAATATACACTCCCACAGCCACTGATTTATATTTATTTCATTTTATGAAATCTTTTATTCAACATTTGGCGACCACCTTTTAAATTCACGCCATGTTCCCTTAAAATGTTTTTGTAAAAAGTCCAGAGTTGTGAGGAGTTCTTAAATTATAGGATGATTGTTTCAATTGTTCCCGATATCTGCTGGTGGACAGTTTAGTGCCCTCTAAAACAGCGTGAGGCGGCTGCGGTGTACGTATGCACTCAGTGTATCACAGCTGAGCGTGCACTCTGTCGTGAAGCCCCTCTGGCAACACTCCATCACCACCGGCTGCACCGTCACTGGTCGACTCTGCAGATTAAACGCGTGTGAAAGTGCAGTTCAAACAGAAGTGTCACCGTGCACAGCACCAGAGGGTCGCGTAGCCACGTTACTGCAGCGCAGTGCAGCGCAGACCTGCTAAACTCCGGGATCCACGATTTGCCGCCTCATGCTAATGTACGCAGACAAATTGCCCGCTGTTACGCAATGCAGATTTCTGCCAGCGGTGATGTGAGGCTGTAACGGTTACACACACACACACACACACACACACACACACACACACACACACACACACACACAACGTGGATTCCTTTGTGTCCCCCGTGTAATCAGCGAGGTGAAATGAGCGAATGTGAAAGCGGCTCGAATGCGGCGGGATTAGCTCTTCGCTGTGGGCCCTGCGGGATTTGACCTAGAGGGGATCCCGGGTCAGGGCCCGCAGCCGAACAGCTCGCCCTGCTGCTGGAGGGTACAGTTAACGCCTGCTCAGGCGGAAGGAGGAAAGCTCATTAGAATAAAACCACGTGGCAATTTCCAAATTGTTATCTATAGGAGGACGGACAGGGAAAGTCTTGTGAAAGACTCGGTGAATCATTGCATTCAAAACCATAACCTCATTTCCCTCTGAGCATTTATTCACCTGTAGGAAGGTTCCTACAGTTGATTTCGGGGAAATAATACCACGATTTAGAGGAAGCTCGCTGAGCCTTTCAGACGTTTCGTTTGGTGTGGTTGGATAATCGAGTTGGACGTGGTTTTGAGAAACACACCTATTATTTCTGGGATTCCCGGCGCTGCTCGATGGGTTTTAGATTGGCAGTGGAGAATGTAGACAACAAATCCAGTCAAGCGTAACCCATCTCCTTCTGATTTAGTTTGTCTTCTAAATACAGCTTAACAGAATGATGGTGCGGCGCCAATATGTGATGTTGTTTTATCCAAAGTGTTTTAAAGTAACCGTGCATGTGCCGTTGCGGGCGCAGCTCCGGGACGCGCCCGCTTCTGACCTCCAGTTTCGTCTGGATCACGAGCGAAGGCTGAGAGCAGCGGCGGAGGAGCAGGAGGCCGTCGTTTCTTTCCCTCAGGTACAACAAAGGCAGCCGGTCACACATTGAGCGTGTAGCAGCACCGAGTTCTAACATGATCAAGTGTCGTCACTGGAGAGGAAAGAACGTCTTGCTTTAATATCCACACCTGCATGTTGTTTTAGATTTAGAAGGATTATCTTCATTATGTCACATGCAGTTCACACTAATTCACTTTTTGTACTTGAATAATCCTTTAATTTGAAAAAAAGTTTTTTTTGTTTTTTTTAACCATTGCATACAAAATGTATAATGTAATCTCCACACAATAGACCTGCTGCAACATTGCAGGAAGTTTTTTTTTTATCCAACTTATAGAGAAAAATGACTTTCAACGTTAGTGCCTCACTCACTATTGTTATTTATCGACGACGGATTCGAATGAAACCTTTTCCCGTCAAAGTGAAAGCGCGTCTTTCTCGCCGGGTCCCCTTTTTCTCAGCAGGAAGACGAGCGACTGCGTCTGGAGGCCCAGCGTGGAGGTCTGGACCTGCAGGGTCTTCAGACCCACGAAGTGCCCTGGCCTCAGGAGAGAGCCACGCTGCAGCAGGAGGTTCGCCTCTTCAGACGCAACAACATCATCTTCTATATGAAGCTCAGGTGGATCCTCACGCACTGGAGGCTCGGCAGCAAGGACGACTGCGGAGAGGAGACGGGGAACCCGGAGGTGAGACGGAGGTTTGATGAGCGTGAGACACATTTAGTTATCCCAAATCCTAAATCCCAGTTTTCGCTAATGCAAACGCGGGAGATTTCTACGGTCTTTGTGTTTACATTGAATGGGTTTGACATTATGATCACAAAGCTTCTGTTGTCATCACTTTATTCACGAGGCATCTTGTGAAACCGGTTTGGGTGTACAGATGGTGCAGCAGTGTGCAGCCCATGCGTCCTCGCGGCAAGTTAACCATCCGCCCCTTGAATTTTAATCCCAACAGAACCCTTTGCTCAAGTCAAGGCAGAATAGTCGTGCAACACCAAAGTCTTTTAAATTGAATGCTTGTTGCGAAGATGGGATCGAAAAGTACTGAGCATATGACAACTGAGGGAAATCAGTAGTTCCTCTCCCATTGCATGCTGGGATAAAGCTTAGCGACTGTGAGCCTGAAACAGAACGTGTTGGTACAGAAAAAATGACAACACAGGCTTCTCGTGGCCGTATCATCTGTTCCAGTTGGAGAAGTTGGAGGGCTTCCCAGAGCTGGGAGTGATAATGGAGCAGGCGGAGGGGGAGACGGATCAAGATGACAGACTGTGTTTACCGCAAACTCCGGAGAGCGTCCGGGACCCGGGGCCCATCGTCCCTCTGGCCTCACCCGATCGACACCTGCAGCATCACAGACAGGTGCAACAATTACAACTCCTCCCCTTTCTTTGGGAATTCATTTGATTCAAACTAAATTGCCACTACAAACCTAATCCAACCTCTTTTGAAAGTATAACGGAAACTGACACATTTTGTTTCATCACGCTTTGGAAATTATATATTCTTTGTTGTGCTTGTGCTGGAGGAATTCTAACCACACAGACACAGTTTTAAGTACATTAGTCCATGCCAGGCAGCCAGGGTACTTATTGCGCTTGGATTTTCACAGGAAAGTGTTTAATGTCAATTTAATGAAGCCCTTCCATGCTGGACACATGGACATAATACAAAAATGAAATGTATTTAAAATAATAAAGAAGAAAAAAAAACAAGTGTGAATCCTATATCTGTATTTTCAAAAAATATGGCATACAGTTACATATGTATACACTCACACACATTGAACAATGCAACTGTAAAGTTATAATACAAATTAGTATTCTGCTTTACATTTTGTAATACATCATTTGAAAGTGCCTCCACCATTTCAAGTGTTGATAATAATAATAATAATAAATGTTTATTTCTATAGTAGTATTTCTATTTCCTCAAGTCAATCGGTGCGCTGAGCTTTTACATTTCTCATCGTGTTGGATGTTTGCCATTCTTTATTATTATTAGAGCAGTTTGGAATGGAATGCAGATAATATATTTGGCCTACATAACTAGTTAGAGGCAATAATTATTTTTGAGGACACAAACCCATTTACGTGCAAAGGACAAAAGGAGCTTCTGTTCTTCAGGCTGACGAAGGTTTGGACCAGTGTGTTGAAATCAGTACGTCCAGCGCCCAATTTACACACATTTGCAAATAAGTATTTTCTCAGAAGGCCCAAGTACTGTAATTTGCTGTGTTTCTATTTTTTTCACAATATAAATGGTTTGTTGCTGATCTGACATTGATGTTTTACTTTGTGAGAATTTATTTCTTCGGTTTTAATAAGCCTTCCCAGAAGACTATATTAAGCTTCATGCATGAGAAGAAGTAGTAATCATTTGCACACATGAGGACTCCAGATGATCGGTCCTGCAGCCGGGGTGAGATAATGGTCTTTTAAGCCACAGAGAGATCATTGAAAGTTTTTTTGTTAAGACTTAATAAGCAGTTTGGCAGCTTGGTGAGAGAAATATATATGTGACTTATAACTACGCATATAAGTGACGACCTCACTGTGTCGTAATGGTTGTCAATCAGCTTGAAATACCTGGAAAAGGCAGAATTAGATTTAGCAGGGATTTTTATCCCGGCGGCCGGCACACTGGTGTGCAATGTCACCAAGAGTTAGCAGGGGGTGGAAATCACCAGCAAGAGATGCAAAAATGTAATCGTTGCCTCCTCTGATGGGATTAGTTTCGTCACATTGTACATTGTGGTGTACAAATAGCTTGTTGTTTTATATTCAAGGTATCCAGTCCATCTTTTGAACACTTGTGGCAATAGTTAGAACTATGTTTGATTATTTTTAATCCTCAAAGAAGATGACTGCTTGTCATTTGGGGCGTTCTAGTAGAACTTGTGGTTAAGATGTACAGTGCATTGTAATTTAAACTAGTAAAAAATCTATAAAAACCTTCTGCAGTACAGCTTCCATGGAGCTCGCTACCAAGCTGCACTACTGGTACTAAACTGCTGGCTGGCAGACCTGTTAGATATAAATCCTTTTTAAAGCTTATCTTTTTAGATCTAAAAAAAAGTTCAATCAGGGATGCCGTGCAATGAAAAAGATTTTCTGATCGTCATATGATGCATATTTAGATACTCAAAAGAACAAAAAGGAAGGTTGTTGAATCTGCTCTTACAGAAATGTGGTCATTTTTGTTTTTATTTGGCAGCTGAGCTCATATGGTGTTCACAGCAGCGTCTGCCAGAGCCGCTGTAGTGAAACCTGGAGGTGATGTTTTACTCACAAACCGCTTTGTGCTTCACTGCCCCTTCCAAGACACTGTCACAACCTCTCTGCATCAAACTTTTACCTTAATAAATACTTAAATTACTGCACTAATCAGACGCATTTTACTTAGTTTCAAGATGGGAGCGTACGATTCCATGCACACCCATCAGTGGGTTCAGAGGTTCAGAGCGTGTTCCTGAAGGATGGTTTTGTCTGAATTGTCTTTGGTGCAGTTTGGGGAGAACCGTCACGTGCTGCAGGCCCTGCGGACGCTGCTGGAGGAGTTTCAGATGGAGCTGCGGGAGGAGGGGACGCGGCGCAGCCAACTGCAGCAGTCCTACGCCAATGACAAGGCCGCCTGGGAGGTCAAGTGGGCGGAGATGAAGGGCCAGTTCGCACAGGTACAGATGGTGTCTCAGCGCCCACCTCAAAGGGACGGGACACGCTAGAGGTGCTTTAAATAAGCAGCAAGGTGACAGTAAACATGTTGCCTTCTCCATGGACAGAATCCCACTCGGGGCAAAGCACTAACAAGGGGAAAAAATGGTTTTCTCTTTTTTTTCCACTCCCCTAGTTACGTAGAAATGGATGGACTGCAATTTATAATCAACCCTCAACAGTTCAATTAAAACACGAAGGACAGCTTCCAATGAGATGAGGATATGATGAATTGCTTGATGGGCACTAATGAGTCTGTCTGTGCAAACTAATTCATTCACTACCGTTCCGGCGCTTCTAAGTGAACCCAAACGCGGCTTAAAGCACTTTCTTTTATTCCTTATGGGAGTTTAAATACTTTGTAGATTAGGTTCAGAGTGCAAGATAAGAGAGAACGACTACCTGATGCCACTTATTTGGTACGGAGTTCACAGATTGTTAGGTCAATATTAAAAGTGTTTCAATTTAGAGTTATAGTAAAGGCTTTCAAGATGTATATTTTTCAAAAATGGCATTTACAACATTGTAAAAAGAAAAATGTTTAGAGAATTATGTCTTTTGGTTAAGTAACCCTGTTCACATTACAAAATTAATCAATCTGTCAGCAGAGAAATGAGCCAAACCAACATTTGTTAGATATTCAGATCAACATTTAATGGCTTTACATTTAAGAGGTATAGACAATTCTTAATGAAAAGATCAATACTAGAACTGAAGGAAACAGTGCGGCCCGCAGGGATTCAGTTGTGATGTTTTTTTGTGTAGTTGGATCCTCGTTGTTAGTTGTGTCTGATTCAATTTTGAGATTCAGGACAGGTGGCAAACAATGTGAAAAAGAACTTGGCTCGTAATCAATTTGAGGGGATTGTATATGTTGTGTCTTTCCCAAATGTTTTGAAAGATGAATTTTGAAACCAACCAGTAATATCTTTTCACAACAACAAACAACAAACTAAGCAGTAGATTTATAGGAGGAGGATTATCTTTTTAACTCTAATGCTATTAAACGTAATATATTTTACCTGGTTTGTGTCTTTCCGCAGAGCAGCAGTCGCTGAGGGCATCTATACAGTTTCCTTTAATAGCTCCATGTTGAGTTCTACTCCTGCTGCACTGAGCTTTGTCCTGATTAAGACTTCTGAAATATGCCCTTAAACTACTGTTTTTTTTTTATTCAGGATTATTTCTCAGCCCAGCAGAGCGGAGCAGAGATGGAAATTACACTCAGCTGCGTCTTTATATATGGATTCATTTTTGAGATATTAATATCATGCTGGCTCATGTTTCCTTCCCTGGTTTGGTCGCTGGTGCTGTTCAACTCAACTTCAAAGGGACTTGCTATATTTATAATGTGGAACATCTTGGTTCTCAGCATTCGCTGCACATGTCGTCCTCGCCGGTATGTAATCAGACAGTTTTCAATCCCAGCGTAAAAGCGCACAAGACAAATATTTGAATGGGCGGTGTGTACGCTGAGGTTTTGATGCAGGCTTTGACTTGCTCTTCACAACAGCTCCAGTATGCAGACTCTTGTTAGTAACATGTTGGAGTTGTAGCTTCCCTCCGTCGCTCTGAAGCTTTGAAGATTTCTGAAATTCATCTGAATCAATCGGTCCACGTCCTTCCGCCGGCGACTGGTTTGAAATATACATTTTGGAGAGCGGCCCTCACCCACGTGGGTCTCTGTCAGCTACCAAACGAACTACTGGTGATTCTGCCTTCACCCAATCTCATTGTGTTCCTGGAATCGAAGGGATTTGGGATTTTAAGCGTATTCTTACTGAGAACAGCCTTGCATTAAAACAATACAGAGGTCCTCCTTGGACCAGGATATCTGTGTTTGAGTAACGCAATCCACAATCCATCCATCATCACCTGTGCCTTTGCTCTTCAACCAGCTGGAGGAGGATGCACAAGGCAGGGTGCGAGGCGAGGGGAAGGGAGGCGAAGGGGAACCGGCCGAAGAACCCCAGTGGGCCTTGGAGCTGGAGCGCGAGGAGCACCGGCGTCTGCTGGCCGACAGCCACAGCGCGTCCCTGGACCTCCGCTGGAAGCTGCAGCACGGAGAGACGAGGTGGAGCCGCGAGAGAGGGGAACTGCTCGGGTGCTTCGACCGGGAGCGGCAGGAGTGGGAAGCCGGCATGAGGGAGCTCCAACGCAAGGTGGAGAAGGTGAGAGACGAGGAGAGCCACAGGAGAAGTGGATTCATTTAAGAGGAGGAAATTAATCAAATGGTTTTTGACGAAACAATCTCACCAGAGGGTCCATTTAACAGCTGTACTTGAGGATTCCTCAGCAGATGCAGTCGGACCCGTTTTTGTGCAGTTTTAAATGTTAAAATTTCTGTTTTTATTTCTGAGCAGTTTTTTGAAATTCTAGTCCACATTTGCTGAAACGGGTGACTTTAAATGCTCATTTTCAAACTTGGAAAAAGCAGTTGACAAACAATCACAAACCAAGGTGCATGTAGTAGCTGATCTGCAGCTTTAAATGACATAACACGGTTGTAAAGTTCCAAAAACGCAAAAGATGTAATGAAATTAAGTCATATATATATGTAATATTTACATTTGAGTACCTGAAATCAGCCATTTTCAGTACACTTAGCTGCTTTTCAGATTTTTTTATGCCATATAAGATGTTTTCGGAATGTTGGTGACTGAACAAAAGACATCACCCATAATAACATTTCTTACAATTGATGCGCAATGTATTTTTAAATAAAAGGGAAAAATTATCTGATGTTGCAGCCTTGAAACTACTTTAACCTTCACTTCTCTACAAACTTTACAGATCAAACAGCACAACAAACCATCTGCAGCATTGGCTTGTGGATGTGTATGTTTGTGTTTGTTTGTGTTCATACCAGGGCCCCCAAAGAGAAACACTGCATTTCCTTTTTTCTTGCTTTTGAATATTTCTGAGTTCATCCCAAGAACATATTTCCGTGCTGGGGAATATGATGCGTATGAGTATTTATGTATAAAGCGGGCACTGGAATACTAACACCTTCTGAAAACTAAAGACAAACTGCTGATGCACCGTTGAATACAGACCCAGAGCAGGAGGTGGAGATGCATTATTCAGCTATGCATATTCTTCAAACTATAAAGCACAGGTCACCAACGGAACACCAGCGACTGGGTGAATGTTGATGAGGGATGTGGATAAACCTCCAAGGCCCCAGAGACCATAACGTGGCAGGAGGATTACATAGTCTACAGTGTCTTATATTAAAGGACGGCAATGGTTTCATAAGGGAAGAGTGCCTCCCACTGTGTATATGAAGCATAGTGTAATTGGAAAGAACCTTACAAGGGGACAGATAAGCCCCCGGACAATATTTGGGGGGATAGTTTTCTATATTGGTCCTGGCGCACGAATAAATAACATGAAAAGTTAGTACAGAAATGCCAAGAGATGTAGGGATCCATATCAAAGTGCCTGTTTATGAGTCGATGGTGGCGCATGGAGTGAAGGGGGTGCGCCGGGAACCGCAAAGGTTGGCGGTTTGAGCCCCGGCTGCTCCATGTGACCATGTTAAAGTGAAAGTGTCCCTGAGCAAGACACCTGACCCCTGACCCCCTTGCTACCTGGGCAAAATTGTAAAAGTCATGGGTTAAAAAATGCGATGTAAGTCGCTTTGGATAAAAGAGTCAGCTAAATGGCTTGTAATGTTTGTGAGTAAAAAAAAAAATTAAGCAGATTAATTAATATTAATAAAGATTATTAATTAATGCATTGTTTTACAATAACTTGCATGACTGAGGGCTTAAATATCAATGTAAATATTGACCTCGTACAGCAAGTAAGAGTCTAGTAAGAGTCGGGCTATAATGTTTTGGAGAAATTAAAGGAAAGACAGAACTTTACAGAACTAACAGAGCGGAATATAGAGAACAAATGTAAAGAATTTGGATAAAAGTTTATCCGGCGAAGGATCCCCTCACGTCTGTACGTGATATTCTTTGTGCAGATGCAGAGAGAGCTGAACAGCCGGCGGGGCGAGGACATCAGAGATGGTGGTCCGGACCACAGAGGGGGGTTCTTTCCTCAGGACAGTCCCTGCAACGCCCCCCGGTCGCCGCGCTCCCCCTGTTCCTCCGCACCCGTCCCTGCTCACCCTCCCACGCGCTCCCACTCTGACTCTGAGGCCATGCTGGAGGAGCAGGGGGCTGCGATGAGGCGGAAGGGCCCGAGGGAAAGCCTTTTCCTGGATGCGCTGTCTCTGGACCCCCTCGGCGTCCTGGAGGTCCCTTCCCCCTCCAGACTGGAGAGGGAGAAGAGGTTCCCCTGCATGAAGGAGGTAACGTGCACCTTTTGTACTTAAACCATGATTTATCATCGTTCATTCTGTTCTATTTTGTGACATTTTAAAGATGACATCATTAATGTATTGATGGCAATAATATTTCAATTAGTAACAGCTACAGATCAAATCACTCATTGAACTCATAGTATTGCTTGAAAAGTACCAAAACGCTATACAAGTTTAACTGTCTTTTTTATTGTTTTTGGGGGAATTTTCCCCTGATTTTAGAGCCTGTAAATCATCCTTCACTGAGCTATTTTCGACATGATTGAAGTGTTGATTGTGTTGTGCTGCAGGCCCTGAATGAGATTTTGGAGAGGGAAGTAGATCTTGCGAGCCCGGATGAGGAGATGGGCGGTGGCAGTCTGCTCAGGTAAACTCAGGAATGCTTCTAAGTAACTAAGTTCAAAAGAGTGTTTTGATGTTTAAATGATTCCGTAAAATGTATTCTGCTGCATGCAAATAGATTTCAACAGTAAATACGGTCTTACTGATCATCCAGCCCCCTGCAGCATTTTTGTTGCACATACAACAACAGAGAGACCGGCTATTGATTCCTTTAACTGTTACTTTGTGTGTAAGTTATAAAAGTAAAAAAAATCTAAACACATATTTTGGGCCGTCAGCAGCGGGGATATAAACCGTGTGTGTGTGTGTGTATGTGTGTGTGTGTTTGTCCAGAGCCAAGTCTGTGTGCTCCATGAGTGACTTCCAGCGGTTGATGGACAGCTCGCCGTTCCTCCCTGACAAGACTCGCCACGGCGATCTGGGCCAAGACGACGTCACCCCGCCTCTTTCCCCGGACGACCTCAAGTACATTGAGGAGTTCAACAATAAGGGCTGGGACTTTCCAGCCTCCGCCTCTAGCCTGGATCCTGCCCTGGAAGCGTGGACGGACAAACCCCCCGAGTCCCGGGGAGGGGAACTCGTTCTTGAACCATTCCAGCCCGCCTCCTGGTTCCTCACCACCAGCGCCACCTTGACCACCAGCACCCTGAGCAGCCCCGAGCACTGCCACAAGTCCCCGCTTAGGGGCAACGGAGCGGGGGCAGCAGGGGTGGGAACGGAGCACTACGGGGTCCACATGCTCCACAGCCCCACCCGACCTGGAGCGGCTGATCGCCCCGCCGCCCAAGACCCGGACTTCCTGTACGCCAAAGGGACCAAAGCCAGGGGCGGGGGAGAGGCCGGGGCGGCGGCCGGCGGGTCAGATGAGGTGTTCGGCAGCGGGAGGTGGGCGTGTGGGCTCCTTGAAGGTGGGGGGTTGAGGACTTCTCCTAGCCAGTCTCCTATCTGCCCCACCGTGGGCTTCACCTCCTCTCTGGAGCTCCAGCTCTCCAGAAACATGAGCGACGACATGAAGGAGGTGGCCATCTCCGTGAGGAACGCCATCCGATCGCCGCCGGGGCCCGTCGTCAGGGACACCGCCTGCCAGACCAACGGATTCACCACGCGGGGCACCCAGACCACCCAGACCATCAGTGTGGGTCTGCAAACGGACCTGCTGAGGAACCTGACCAGCAGCCCCCACCGCTGCCTCACGCCGAAAGGGGGCGGGACGCCTATTTCTTCCCCGTCACGCAGCCTGAGGAAGGTTCAGTACTCTCCCGTCGTGCAGAGCAAGTTCGAGCGACCCTGCTGCTCGCCAAAGTACGGCTCGCCCAAGCTTCAGCGCAAACTGTCCACGTCCAACAAGGCTGAGCTACCCAACCCCAACCCCAACCCCAACCGCGCCCCCACCCCCACCACACCGCAGAAGGGCAACAGCGAGTCGGCGTGGGCCCGCTCCACCACCACCCGCGACAGCCCCGTCCACACCACCATCAACGACGGGCCCTCCAGCCTCTTCAACATCATCGACCACAACCCGGTGCCCTACGACTCCATGGCCAAGTTCAACAAGTCGCCGAGCCGCTCCCGCCCCGCCCCTCCCTCCACCGCCGAGCCCGGCCCGGCCCCGGGGGCCCTCGCGACAGACCCCAGGGGCGGCGAGTGTTCGCGGGCGGCTCGCGGGAGCTCGCCCAGCCCCGTGCAGCCGGTCGCGGAGACGCAGGGGGACAGAAGCGCGGAGGTTGCGAGCATGAGGCAGGACCTGTCGGCGCCGCCGGGCTACTCGCTGGCTGAGAACGCCGCCCGCATCCTGAACAAGAAGCTGCAGGAGCAGAGCTTCAGGGAGGAGCGGCGGCTGCAGGCCGGAGGGCAGAGCAGAGACGGCAGCAGGCAGGCCGACGCAGACAGAGGACAGTCCGGATGCATGGAGGTAATTATGCAGACGCACTGGATTCTGCACTTCATCATTCATTCGATTCGGGGGCCCGTGTTTCATGACGCAAAAATATTCATGACTTTGCTTGGATTTTCCTTGTAATGGTTGAAGACAGACTTTCAGGAAAAGAAAAAAAGATTAACAACTACATTATTATATCACTAAAATGTTGCTTTTTTCTCAGATGGAAAGCACTGACTGATGCAATGGTAATGTCAAAATATTTGACCCTATTCAAAAATACTGAACTTTTCTTCATGTCTGTATGTAGACGCACTTTAAGGTGGTTTCTTTTTCTGTACTTTGTCTTTTATTTCTGTGCTTTCACTTTCACTGGGGCCCGACCAAAACCTCATTTGTGTGTCGGATAAGTGGCGAAGTCAAATTAATGATCTGGGTGAGATCACAGTCACATAATGTATCATTAGTAGCAATTCTCAATGCTCAATCAGCATTTTAAGGGCCTCCAATTTGATTTCCCTCCTGCCAGAACAAACCAGAAATAGGTTCGTTAACAGGTCGGTCGGGCCCTTTCCACCACCCATTCAGCTAACCTGTGACAGAAAAACAGCTTTCTGGTTGTGTTTAAATGATGAATTTGTGTTTAGCAGCACTTCCAAAAAAGACTGAGTTTTAAAAAGAGGTCATGCTGTAATAGCGCGATGCATTATAACAATATACCAAGAGACTTTGTTATTCTTGATACCACAGCACGAGATGTCAGCAACACAGTCCCACATATGCTGGTTAATATGTCCACTAACGTGCAGGATTCACCAGCTGCTCCTCCGTGATCTGCAGAACAGACAGTGAGTGAGATTAGAATCAGATTTCTGATTTTATGGAGTGTGTTTTCTGCAGTCATTCCCTCAGTGAAGCCTTCTGGGCATTTCGGATGGAAATAATGGATTGCAATTTGGAGTTGAGCACGCAATAAGTTAATATCATAATGCAGACCTGGATACGGTTGATATCTTGCTTTGTATCCTTTGGGCCTCAAACGGACAGATATACACAGAGGAGTGGGGGGAAAGGAAAATGTCATCAAATATCCATTTAAAATGTCAGGCAATAAACCAAATGAACTATAACCAGAGCTGAATTTAGCAGTCCAGTGAATAAATAATATAGAAATAATAGTAAAGATAATTTTAGCATATTGGGGGAAAAAAAGTATGATCACAATCTCAAAGAGCTTTATATGTTGTCTTTAAATTCCTTGTTTTGTGTAGCTGAACGATTCTGAATGAAATAAAAACAGTGAGCGCTTAAAGTCTGTAACCAGCAGTCGCTTTCATCATTACAGTTGATGAGTTATGGATCATTTTTATTGACCCATTTTCTGTCAATCATTTAGTTGCTTTAACTCTTAAGGAAATATGATCAAAGGTTCACATTCAAATCCTGTCAAATTGATATAAAATCAATTTAGTGAAATAATTTGAGGTCTAAAATGAATGGGTGTGTGTTTAGTTTTTCTTTGTTTGTCCGCAGACTGAAATCAGCCACCTTATTTCTTCTGGTACACCTCTCGGCCTTTGAAATGCCAAACTTATCACACTTCCTCTTTATCCAATTTTACCAATTAACATTTTCCCGCTCTATGTCCCCCCCCCCCCCCCAATTCCCCCGGCTTCTCCTCCCTTTGGGTTTTATCCCTCCCTTCCCCTCCTTCCTGTCCGCTGTGCTCTGATCCAGAAACCACACTGTCATACTAACCACTCTTGGGGGACTCTAACTCGGCTTGTCTCGGTGATGTAAGTTCCTCTTCCTCCTCTTCCTCCTCTTCCTCTGCGAACGGTTTTGTGGTGGGGTTCCCCTGCCACACGGACCTCTCACCTCCCGCCCTGCAGACCCCCCCCCCCCCCCTCACCCTCTTCATTAATGCATGCTTCACAGGACGGCAGAGTGACAGTGTGTGAAGCCATCGGAGTGGTGTCAAAAGTTGTGCGACGGCCATACATTTGTACCGTTTGTGTTGATGCGCGAGTGGTGGTCAGTTTCTTTGTTATAGATCATCTGTTTTTTTAAAAGGACCATAATGGTGTTTCTTTGCATGTTTTTGGCCATTAATCACATAAATCACATCTGCTGTTTTCTAGTGTCATAACATACATGTTGTGGTGATTCGATTTTGATAAATCTTCCGCCAGAACGGTATGAAAGACTCGCATGAGTGTTAATCACTTCGCGTGAACGTGTAAGTTCGATATGTATGAAAGCTTTCTGAAGTTATTTAGTCGTTCTCACTGTTCACAATGCAGGAAATTCTATTGTTTGATTATCGGACCTAAATCAGGTGTAACCTTTTGAAAGAATGAAACAAAGATTGGTGGCAATATAAATTGTATGTGATTTGACATTAACGGGAAGGATTCTGCAAAACTGCCGTTATGGTCCTTTAATTCAAACTCTGTCCGTGTGATTGAAAGAGTCGTCCCAACGTGTCTCAACCACTGACCAGAAAACATCTGCACCATTAAAGGCGACACAAACAAGTCAAGTCTTTTGGACATTTCACACATTCCTCAGTGCAGGTTGTCTTAAGGGGCCTGCATGTAATGATAATGATAATAATAATAATGGCATCTGGATTATTCTAACATTGTGTTTCTACCAGGTGCTCCTCTTTTCTGTCACCGCGTGTGCGACTTGATGGACCAAGGTGTTTCCTTGTGTTGTGTTACTATTTACACCCTCTTGTCCACACAGTGCTTTCTTTGCTCCCCTCCCCTCAACCCTTCCCACCCGCCATTTCCTCTCACACTAACAAGTCGCCGTAAGATTAACGGAAGACGCCCGCTGCCCGCACTCATCACTTTCTGTGCACTGTCTCCTGTCGGGCTGGTGATTGATGCCTGGTGGATATTAACTGCTTTCTCTGGTCTGTTGTTGTGCGCTTGAAGGGAAGATCCACCATCAGGTTACTCGTACACTGTTATACAACATGTTATCAGCCTGTATTCTCATGATGCTGTGTTCATCGGCTTCCCTCGCCTTTAGTTCAGTTGGTGTTTTTCAAAATGATGATGCTTAAATGCTTTAAAAAAAACAAATACACAGAAAAAGAAACTTTCAGTTAAATTAGGAAATGAATTCAAGTTTTAAACACAGCTGAGAAAACTTTTAATTTACTGATCGATTGGCTAAATGTATTAATTATCTAATAAAGTTGAAGCTCCGTCCCCCTCATCTTTTATTAAAATATCCCATTATAAAAACTGACTTATCATACAGATGATTAAACGTGTTAACTAATAATAACAGTGTAAATTGGATTTACAGGCGATCGCATTATCAGTCGCAACAGTTTCCAGGTATCTAACGGTGGATTTTCCCTTCGACTGAGAAGTCAGAGCGGACGAGAGGATGTTCATGGTCTTCTCTCCAGTCGCTGACCTCCTGTTTCCGTCACTGCTGCATGATCCGTGGTGTCGTGTGATCTGACGCATTTAGCCTCTCACAGGAAATCCCCCCTTTGACCCACAAGCCGCCCGTTTAAAGACGGCTTGTATTTCCGCTGTGTGCGTACACAAGCCATCGATTTTATACACAAACTAATTATTTATCGACGGAGGCCCCCGTCCGTCCGTCTCCGTGACTTGTTTTCCCGCCGGTTCATCAGGGCTGCAGTTTTTGTGGCGCGCCGCTCACCGGCAGGGATTTTCATTTCCTCTGACTGGTGTTTGTTCAGTTCACCCTCTCATGCCACCGCCGCATACGTTCAGCAGAGCTAGATAGATACTTTGTGTGCTGGAAGTCTTTGCATCCTCCAGCCAAATGCTAACGCCTGCAGATGAGCTGTTTATAAATCAGGCCAATGATGAGATCATTCACCCAATCACACTCTGACATCCTCCTGACGAGGCCACCTTTCTCTCTTCTCATCGCCCTTGTTTCACTGTTTTCATCTAGTGGACTGAGCCATAAAATTGTGTTTAATTTACTCACCATTAATTTGTTTTTATGCCTCAGTAGAAATATGCAAACTAGATTTGTTTGCATTCATCTGTCGTTGTCTTTTGTCAGTCAAGCAGTACCGATAAAAGCTTGTGTAAGCTGTTCCTGCTTCTCGTTGGGATTTTCATGTGGTTTCGCTTGCGACTTTGAAGACGATGATCTCAACCAGTGCATAGATGTGCATTGTTAAATCCTCTGATCGGCGAGGGACTGAACGCTGTCAAAGTGGGGCAGGGCACCATTAAGCTAACTAGGCATTGTTAAATGGCAGCTGTATATTGCACAGCTCCCCTGCTTATCTGATCACATGATTACCTGAGCAGATGGAGAGTTAAACTGAGTCGCTGTGGCTTTAATTGTTTCATTTTAATCTAGCTTGTTTTTTCAGTTTCATCTACAGTTGTTGCGTTTGCTCATCATCCCTTTGTATTGGCTATCAGCATTATATAAATAACATATGAAGCTGTCTTCAATATTTTGTCTGTAATTTAACTTCATTAGGAGAACAGGAAGTGAAAAATACAACTACATCACTAACTGTGAGAAGTTTGTTTGAAGGGACGTAAACAATCAGTCAGTGTAAAGCTGGAACATTTTTAGTTACAATATTTTTACCTGAAAACTGTTAAATGTTAATTTAGCTCTGAAGCTCCCAGTACGGTATCGACATAGATGGACTTTATCAGTAGACAATATTTGAGTTATATTACTCAGCCCAAGACTAGAGGTCAAAAAATAAAAAATCATAAAATCGAGCTAAATTACTTCTACAGTATTTAGATTTTTGTTAGCGTATCAGTGAATTTCTATCTAAACAATACTTGTAACATAGATGTCTTAAGCATTGTAACTCCTTGTTGATTTAGACGTTTCCTATAAAAGTCTTGAGACAATAAAAGTCCACATTAACATTGGATTGTCATTTTGACATATTCCGTACTTCTTTGGTAAGTGGAAGATTAACCCCCCTTAATTACATCCTCATCCTGCTTACTCTTTCAATTTCTTTCATTCATGTTCACATCTTTTAAATAAGTTCATCTCTCCCGGTTTACCCCCCCGCCCCCCTCTCACTGACGGCTCCCTGTCATTGGCAGGACCTGCCTCGCTCTCCGGTGGCTCCGCCCCTGGACTCCCGTTTCCTGAGACCAGCCCGCCCGGCCAACCGCCGCCCCCCTTCCCGCTGGGCGTCCCACTCCCCCCCCTCCTACTCCTCCTCCCCCAGGTGGAGAGAGGGCACAAAAAGGAGGTTCACCTTCCCGCCGCCGGGACACCGGGAGACCATCCTGGAGGGGGAGGAGCCGGCGTGAGGCCGTCCTCTACCTCCTCTCTCCCTCCTCCACCTCAGCGGGAAAGACCCAGTACCTCAGAACCCCCCTTCAGGCTCCATCCATTGGGAGTCACTAGATTTGAGGGAGGGGGCAGGGAGGGGGATACACCCAGTAGCACCAGCTGACCATCGAGGAACCAGAACTTTTTTTTTTTTAGAAGAACCTGGAATGTACTGTAATATCATCAAAAAATATTTCAATGTCCGTAAGAGGTGCCTGCACACGCTTCCTCATGACGCCCCACGTGTGCGTGTGTGTCAACTGTAGGTCAGCCGTTGCATTTGTACGACGTTTACACGATTCGTTCTTCTCATCTGTTTACATCTTGCTTTCTTGCTTTTACGTTATCCCACATCGATCCGTGTAGAAACTATTTTTGAGTAAAAAAAAAAAAAACGTCTGTATTTTGGTTGCCAACTTTTGGTGCATGACTTTTCTGTTTGGAGAGCAAACAAAACAAACTACTTCTGCTTCACCGGGTCTGGAGCGGAGACGCGTGGTGTCGCTTCTGATGCTGATGTATTTCTGATCGGGTGGGGTTGAACCTTTGGCTCTGTAGAGAAGTGGAAGATGGTTGACAACAAACTGAATAACCTTATGCATATTTGGAAGGCAGTTGTACAAATATCGGTCAAATATTTGCATGCCTTTTGAACACTAGCACTTTAGTGCATGTACATATGAGCTCTCGTCATTTGTGATCACTCCGCTGTGGGGGGACGGGGGGGTGAGAAATGTGATGGGAACTCTGAAGCTGTTGTTTTTGTTGTCCAAAGATTTGCATTGATTAAAATAATGAGAATTTTTAGGTGAGTTATCGTACCTACCAGGCGGTCTTTGTTACCATTGGATATGAAATACGTTTTCTTTTGTCAAGAAAAAAAGGATTGTGGAGAAAAAAAAATGAATGTTTTAAATGAAAAGTCTATGTAAAAAAAAATTTAAAAAACTCTAACGATCTGTAGTCTTATGTAAATACTGGTAATAAACATGAATGTGTATTTACAAGACATCCTCCTCAGTGCGTTTGTTTGCATCAAGCAATGACCTTGAGGTCTGAAGATACAGCCAGCGTGGAAGTACAAACGGTTCCTCAAACAGCCACTTGAGGCTCCAAGGTAGTCACTCCCCTTGGACCCTTATTTTGAAATGCTTAACTGTTACAACTAAACTTGTTCACAACCTAATAAAAGACACACTTAATGAGTCATGTTTAACGCTAGCAGCTAACGCTAGCAGCTAATGGCCCTGGCTGGCTCGGCCTCAGTCCTCTCCAGCTACTCTCTCTCCTCTAGATTTGGACACCGTTGGTCCAAATAACCAAGATGGCGCCGGCCAAAATGCCAAACTCGATGCTTCAAAACTGTTGTCCAAAGACCAGCGATGTTTGTCTAGATGATTGCCCACACCTTCATGTACACTGTACATCGGTTGGTCTTGTTTTATGTTTCTCCGTCCACCACAAAGGTTCAATTTAGCTCCTGACAGATTATACGCTCTTTCATTAGACCTGAGTTTCTCTTCTTGGCACAGACTGATCCTGGATCATGGTCTGTGTGTCTGTCTCTGTGTGTGTGTGTGTGTGTGTGTGTGTGTGTGTGTGTGTGTGTGTGGATTACAGTGCAGACCATAGGATTACAGTGGGTCATGAGGGACGGACAGACCCACACACACAGTAATGTGAATAAGAAGATTGTCTCCTCTCAGAAGTCAAATCCTGTTGCATCATGGTCATAATTGTGTCACCTTACTGATGTTAATCAGCTTGTCACGCAGGATAAAGACCATCAAAATAAACCTAGACTAGTTTATTTAAAATGAGAAGCAGTGAGAAGGCTTAGAAGGCCTCTACTGATGTTGTTCATATGGGTTATTTGTTTACTCATATGACCCATGGTAAAGTCTGCGGCAATAACAGAAAATTATCTGAGTTGCCTAAATGGAAATATGTCAGCCTTTAGGTTTCAGTTTGTCAATAACTGGATTCTCACATTTTATTGTACTTTACATAACAAACACAAAGATTATTTTCATTGGAGACTGTGAATGCCAAAAGTGTTAGGTAGAATTAGTTCTTTTTGCACAGTTTTGTATTGATTCTACAGGGATGTATTTGACATTTACTTAACATTTAAAGCAAAAGGTCGGCAAAGAAGTAAAGAAACCAGTAGAAATGCTTTCTGTTCCAAGACAAGATTGTGTTAGTAGAAAGTAGAACATTGCTGGTCTTCAGTACTGCAGCGCTGCTGATTACCACTATCAATAAATAAAACCAATGCAGGTGATCAAATTCGCTAATACAACAAAACACATGTATGTTTAGCTACCAGCTAATAGAGACAAATAATCTGGATGCTCATTTTCAGCTTTTCATGAGAAAAAACTTAACAGAATGAAACCTGTAAATCTTAAAACTCTTAAGTGTTTTATTGGCGCTGAAATCTAATTGTTGGAGAGCCGGAAAGAGGAAGTGATAAAGACAGAGGGCTGAAGGCCCCTGTGTACCTTTCATTGAGTTAAAATGATGAATAATTAATTGCACTCTGGGAGCTGCTGATGGCATCTAGCGGGTCAGCGGGGGGAAGAAGAAGAAGAAGAAGAAGCTGTGCTTTTACTTCCATCCGCCCAGAGAGGAACCACCGCTGAATAATTTAGAGCTCAAGTCCCTCCGCGCACATCCAGCACACTGCCGCTCTCTAAACACCGGACTCTGCTGCAACAACGTCCGACGTCGGCTGCACCAGGAAGGATGCGACCTCTGGGAAATAGAAGTCCCTGCCAAATATACTGCAGCAGCAAGACAAATCTTTAACATCATTTTCACACAGAGTACCTGTAGGTGGCATCTCAACCTCAGCTTTTAGATTTCAGCCTTTCAGGTATTGACAAAGGCCGGACGACCGCGGTTGAGCTGAAAGTATTTACATCTTTTTTATTTTCAGGTGCTTCAGCTCTTGCTTTACTCTTGAAAGCTTCTTTGCACAATGAAGACATGCGTCTTTAAGAAATGGGTGACACATATAGTGTATTTCTAGGGCTCACTAATGTCCTAAAACAGCTGTAAGTTGTGACACCGCCACAAATATGTCAACTTGATAGGAGTTATCCACAGGTGAAAGGGGGCGTGGCCTGTGGAAGACATTGAAGGATAATAAAGAGTGAGACGCAAACCAACCCATGGCTGGATTAGTCTTTTTCTCCAAAAGTTTGATTCCTTTTTGCCGTTTTTTTCCACAATTTTTTCAATTCCTTGTACATACAGTACTTTTGCAATTTGAAGGGAGGACATGCTCTTTGTTTTCGTTTGGATTACTTAATTGCACTGTGTGATTTGATTACATTTTATAAACTCCCATCCTGTGTTACCAACAATGGAGCTGAACAGCAATAAGAACTGCTTAATTCAAAGGTAAATAAATACAAATGACGCCGTCACCCCCTCTTCACTGCATGTGGTTATGATTTAACAATCCCTTCAAATAACACCTTTTACTCGCCCCGTTCCCTTGAATGCTTAGAGAAACCTGTTTTTCTCGTATGCCTCCACAGTGAATAAGAATCCAAAACAGAATGATTGATGAATTGATAACAGCAAAACTATCTAATTTTAACTAATTTAAAAGCCTGCTAAAAGTATACTGTACATGAATCCTCTCTGAATAGTGAGTTTACATTTATTGAAAATGGAACCTGTTGTCCAGACATGAATAAAGTGATTTTAATAAATTGCGCTGGTCGCTCTGCGTGTCCTGCTGACAGAATTAACGTTCTCGCGGCTCCACGCCGCCTCGTTCAGCACGCAATCTGTCAAAAGTTGGACCCCGGAATTGCACACGCCCGCATCTGTGTGCGTAGGCCTTAAACAGACAATGGGCGACACAATGGGCCCGGCTGGGCCATTAGCTGAAGCGTTGTCATGCCAACAATACAAAGAGCCCCACGCCAGACCTTGAGCCCGGAGGTGACATCACGTTGAGCGAGAGCTTCGCCTGCAGGCCTCTCGCTGCTCCTCGTTCTCTGTTCCATCGCTGCCACTGTGATGAAAGAGGATATTGCAAATCCTGCATTTATGTCATTAGTAATACTGATGCATCAGCATGTTGGCAGAATAGCGGAGCTGGAGTGAGTTGTAACTGTAACTGTGTTAGTAGAGAGTAGACGAGTCAAATCTTCTTTCATGTTTCATCCACACACTCATGTCACAGCCTTAGAAAGCGCATTGTTATTATCAGATGAGCAAAACCTTGGCTAATTATGTAACCAGCGTAAAATCCACTGCTATCTCCTGGAATACATTTGAAATGGGACACCCGGCCCCAGACAGAAAATATCCCCAATTGTATTTTATAGATTTATAGATTTTTTTTATAGATTTAAATTTAAATGTAAATTCTGAGTGTGTTGAAACTTGTATAGCTGATGAATGAATGAATTTATGGAATAAAAATAAACTGAAATGTGGTGGATAAAGTAGAATATTTATATGTACAGTAGAGTTTTGACATACGGTACCATTTCAAATTCCAGTGGGCTTCAAATTCGGTTAGACCATCTGTGTGTCTTTAGAAAAGCAGAAACAAAAAGATGCCATTCATTTGGTGCCTCCTTGATTCCTCTTTTGTTTGTGTATTTTCCTTTGGACAGGCCCAGTCTCACACACACACACACACACAGCTCAATCCCAGCGGGCTTTGCCTGCAGGCAGAGCGGGATGTAAAGCCGTGGAACCTCTGGGTCCCACAACATCTGAGTAAGTGCCCCCCCTCTCTCTCTCTCTCTCTCTCTTTCTCTCTCTCTCTCTCTCTCTGTCTCTCACTGTCTCTCTCTCCCCCTCTGAGCCAGTGTGATACCACATCAGAAACAATGACGGAGGATTTTGGGCCGTAATCCTTCGACAGATTGCAGTTTGCGAAGGTTGGAGAAGAGTTATATTGCTTCACACACAATGTTCTGTTTGTTGCCCTAAAAATAATTTGAACTTTTTTCATTCAAATATGAATCAATTCCAGGATAACCGTCTAATCCACAGGACTGTAAATTCCACATAATGTCCCATGATATATGAACAGCACAGATGTCTGACATCTTTTGTTCAATCTACTTCTGTTATTTTTCTCTGGGTTGGTGGAGAGTATAGATTCGGATTACACATATTAATGTGTGTGTGTGTGGAGGTGGCATTATTTCTTATATCTTTATGATATCAAAGATTGCATATGAACTATAGAAAAAAGAGGGAACACGTTCCCCTCTCAGCATATTGCACACAAGCATTGTAAAAAAGTCCCTCTTAAATGGTCACAATGATTTTGATGTTGCTTTTAAAGAGACAAAGAAAATCACCAAGAAAGGGAAGTCAGCTTCCTCAGGTTACCAAACTACACAAACTGTGGTGGTCAGAGGAGGAGGGTTTTGGTTGCCATAGTAACACCTCCTCGGCTCTTTGGAGTGATAATGCAATATCAATCGCCATGTTTCTGCGCTCCTCTCTCCTCGTCGTCCCCATCTTGCACCTTAACGCTGTAGAGGACACAGATGAGATGAAACGAAAAAGAAGTGCGCGCACTGTGAATGACCCAAGATTTACAGGAAGATGAGAGAAGAGACCACCGAGACACTTTCATAGAGACTCCTTTCAAAAGAATCCAGTGCACTTCTGATGGAACAACCCTTTATTTGGTTCTGCATCCTTCTTTGCTGTAATCACAGCTGCCTGCCGCACACAAAGTGTGTGTGATCTGTGCATCATTAGAAGACAGGAGGCAGGAGAGTACGTTTCACAGTAAACCATCAGATAGCAAATGTAGAGGAGGATTCCTGCCACATGAGGGGGCCAATTAACTGCTGAGCTTGAAAGGAAACGGACAAAGGCAACAGATAAAACCCCTTCATTCTTACGTCATAGAAATGTATCACACATTGAAAATATACATTGGAGGTCTGTTGAGAAAACAATTTCTATGACTAGTTTCTTTACACATTTTAGCTTGCAAAAGCAACCACAGATATTTCATTCAAATCAACTGTTTTCTACTCTTTCTCTTCTAGGCATTAAAAAAACACAACATTTAAACGTCCCCATGGCAGCGATATCAGATCCCAGCGCCTGCATTCACTAACCAGCCGTTTGTGTTTTGTCTTAAAGCGCGCTGTAGAGCACGATGTGTTTGTTCAGGCCGGGGCTTCACATCTCTGGCTGAACAGCTCCTCCACCACCTTTGGGTCGGCCAGGGTCGAAAGGTCGCCCAGGTCCTTGTCGTTGCGGGCGATCTGCCGGAGGATTCGCCTCATGATCTTCCCTAAAGGGAAGCCGGAGTTTAAGTAAACGGATGCCACCGAGGAGGAGAGTAGAGGATGGATGTTGGTTTTAAAGAAGTGTTTTTACCCGAGCGGGTCTTCGGGAGTGCTGGAGCATTTTGAATGAAGTCCGGCGTGGCGATTGGTCCGATTCTCTCTCTCACTGGAAAAAGAATGCAAAGGATACACAGTTTTATTTTTTGCCATATTTTTATTTGTGCATATTTAAAAAACATCATCAAATGCAACTGATGATTTGTTTCATTGTCATTTCAGTTTGTCCGACCAACAGTCCAAAAAACCAATGATATTTTATTTGCGATTGCACGAAAAAAGGAAAGGAAAGGTTAATAATCCACATATCTCAGAAGCAAATATAAAAAACTTTAACTTTAACATTAATGCACCCTTTATTAACAGTTATTGTTTTTCAGCTTTTGACTTTTCCTTTATTCGATTCAATGTATTCATTGCACCTCAAATCCGATTGAAGAGATTCTTCCAAGATAAACCAAGACTGACCGTCTGAACGTAAACCGTCAACAAAACATATTTCCATCCCTGTGGATTTTACTCTTTCAACCCGTCCCCTGCGTCAAAGCCTCACCCAGTCTCCTGAGCTCCTCCACCAGTTTGTGGTTAAACTCCCTGCTGGCCTTCAGGGTGACGAAGCAGTACAGACACTCGCCCTTCACCTTGTGCGGCCGACTCACCACCGCGGCCTCCGACACGGCCGGGTGCTCCGTCAGAGCGGCCTCCACCTCCGCTGTGCTCATCAGGTGGCCTGAAAGAGGGATAGATAATTCAAAACAGAGCGATGCTTGAAGTCCAGTCAAGTAGGTGCCAGGGCTCCCCTCATTCACATGTTCAAACTGTGTTTCAGCAACCCATAGCTGGTTCCTGTTTATTTTTTTATTTTTTTTCCAGTTTTGAGTCAGTCATTTGTTGTGATTGTCTTCTACGTTGGATTTGCATCTTCAGGTGTTATTTGTGACTTGAAGGTCTGACTATGATTTACTATGAGGATGCCTTCAGACTGGATCAACAGCAGCCAGTCACACAGGCAGAGCTGAGACGTGTGAGCTATTTATTCAGGTAATAACTGTCCCAGAATAATTATTATTAAGAAACACAATAACACTAAACAAAAGATACTGTGAGATGTTGGTACATTAATAAAGGCCTAATAGCTTGATGACAAAATGTTATTTTAAATGTAAGATCTTACTCTGATAATCATGTTATTTCACAGGAGCAGATTCAGAATTGTTTTAAATAATGTTTCATTCTTTATATTTATTCACAGGTGAATTACTGCTCCCTTAGTACCTCGGTATCGTAATAACCTTTTCCAATAGGTTACCTGACACATTCAGCATGTCGTCTATCCTCCCCGTGATCCAGTAATAGCCGTCTTTGTCCCGCCTGCATCCTGAGAGAAGAGAAAACCAGGGACAACATCGTGTACATTTTTGGTATTAAGACACTTCCAGCGTACAGTTTGCATTGCGGTCTTGTGAACTTGAGAGTCCAGGCAGAAAATGTGATGGATGTTTTTTGTGGCGTACCGTCACCAGTTACATAGAAACCCGGGAACTTTTTGAAGTAGGTGTTCTCGAAGCGCTCGTGGTTTTCGTACACGGTGCGCATTATTCCGGGCCAAGGACGCCTAAATACCTGCAACGAAACACAGAAAACACTTATAAAACATATAAGACTGAAATAAGAATAATGAAACATCACATTTACAATTAGTATTAATTTGAATAGAATACGAATACATTTTTAAAATATTTTTAAACGAAAAGTCCCAAGAAATGGTTATTCAACAAAATGAGGGTTATGGTTAATTCATCTTTTATAGTTTTTAATGAATGAATGAATCATCAGTTTTAAGCGTAACGCCTTTGAATGTTTAGGATTCATAGTATTTTGTGAGTATCTGTTGATGCTGCTGCACATGATTTCCCTCCCACGGATGAACATAGTTGCACTGAATTGAATTGGTACTTACGAGATAACCCTCGCCCTCGCCTTCCAGTTCCTCTCCATGTTCGTTGAGGATTGTGGGGTCTACTCCAAAGAAAGGGAAGGTCTGAAACGGGAGATGTGGGTTCAATGTAACATGATTTGTATTAAAGAAAAAGAAGATTAAAGATTTGTTCAACATTCACGTAAAAGTATTACGAGATAACCGGTGTTTTCACTCACAGCAGAGCCTGGTTTCAGTGGCGTGGCAGCAGGCAGAGGAGTCAAAACATGACCTCCCTGTAGACAGATGAATTGATATTTACATATTGAGGGAACTCGTGTATTTGTAGCTTTTTATTGGAAGGGCAGCTGAGCACATACGGTCTCTGTCTGCCAGAAAGTGTCGACGACGGGACATCTGCCCTGACCGACGGCCTCGTGGTACCACTGCCACGCCTCCGGGTTGATCGGCTCGCCAACGGTGCCCAGAATCCTCAGGCTGGAGAGGTCGTATCTAAAGGGTGATAACGCTTCCCTCAGATATCTTACATATTATTAATCATTATGTTTTATGGATGCAAGATGACAAGCTGTGTCGTGACCGTCCCGACGTCCGGTTTCTTATTGTGCTAAGCTAACCATGATGGTTCCAGGTTCATGTTTAGCATTCAGCATGCAGGAGTCTGTGGTATCAATAGAGAGCATTGTTTCTGAAATATAACTTTGTTTTGTCCATCTGGTTGTCAGCCAGAACAAACTCAACCCGAAGATACTTTATTCTATTCATTTTAGCGTACATGCGTGTGTTTGGGAAGTGGAAAGTCGCATAAAACTTGTATGGGAGTATATCAGCTCATTTATTTCAGTTATTTAACGTGGCTCACATTCGTTTTAATCCATCTAGATTTTAAATCATTTCCGTTTTTCTTGGAGACACATGTGAAAAACGATATATTCTCCAAGGGGGAGTTACTTATGAACAAATGGTCATTGGGTAAAGTGTTCTTTTAACTGAGTTTAATGTTGAAAATGCTTGAAAAAGATGTATGAATTACGAGCGCGGTCAATGTGTCAGCCAACGGAAGTCTACATTTTTCTGAGCTGCCGTGGCGTTCAAAGGATGCTCTTACTTCTGCAGAGGTTCCCGTCCGTACTTCATCAGCAGGCGGATGGCTGTCGGAGCTGTGTAGAACTTGGTCACTTTGTACTTCTCAATGATCTCCCAGAACCGGCCGACATGAGGGTGAACCGGAATACCTTCGAACTGGAGAAAACGCACACGTTACTCAAAGGAGCTCTGGAAGGGGGCCCCGCGTGCGACCTTTCAGACTTACGAGGACACTTGTGGCGCCGTTTGCAAGCGGGCCGTATGTGATGTAGGAGTGGCCGGTGATCCAGCCGATGTCGGCGGTGCACCAGTACACGTCGTCATGGTGATGGTCGAAAACGTACTTGAAGGTCAGCGACGTATAGAGTAGATACCCGGCAACAGTGTGCAGGACACCCTGTACAGAACACGAGCTCGGAAACATGAGAAAGGAAGCTAATGGCTCAGCACAAAGCAAGAAGAAAGCAAACATAATGGGGCCGATGCAGAGGTTAATGTGTGTGTGTGTGTGTGTGTGTGTGTGTGTGTGTGTGTGTGTGTGTGTGTGTGTGTGTGTGACAGAGACAAAGACACAGGTAATACCATACTGTCTGATGCTCTGGCTCCTCTGTGGTGTGTTATAATAATGTCTACACACAAAATGCAAAAGCATTATGTCCAAGAGAGCCCACTTAACACTATTAGATCCTTGTCAAAGTAGAAAATAAGATGCTGTGTATTATTTCAAAGATGCTATTACGTACAATGAAAATGTAAAAGGAGAAAAAAAATGTTTGGCCTTGCAGATTTCTGCGTAAAACTGGTTTCATTGAGAATAGTTGATGTCACCTTGGGTTTCCCAGTGGAGCCGCTGGTGTAGAGGATGAACAGCGGATCCTCAGCATCCAGCCACTCGGGCTCACACTCTTCAGAAGAGTCCCTCATCACGTCGTCCCACCACACGTCACAGCCCGAGTTCCAGGAGGTCTGCGACGCAAGACAAAAAACATAAACTGCCATGTAAGTTATTAGAAGATCTACTTCTCCCGGCATGCGCTTTAAACATAACGTGGTGGTTAAAAAAAACACAACCACCTGTAGTTTGTTGCATTCAGCTGCATGGTGCTTGACGACGAGGCATTTAGTGACACTAGATGAGGATCTGCGTGAAGAAAATAACAAAAGGTTTTGTGAAAGCAGTTGAGTCCATTACCAGCAGCTAGTGTCAATACAGTAACGGTGGTTGCTGAGAACCGAGAACCTCGTTGGCATTTCAGCAGGACCTACTTTTCCCTGCACTTCTCCAGAGCCTTGTCCGCAATCTGTTTCAGGTCGATCAGCTTCTCCCCTCTGTAAACACCGTCTGTATATTACAAAGGGACGGAGAGGCGGGTGTTTGAACCATCAGGAAGCGTGTATTTAAGAAGTCTTTGCATCTTTTCATCCATTGAACTCTACAACGCGACCCCATTGGCGGACATGTGACACACCTGCTGTCACCAGCACGCCGCTCTGGGCGTCCACGATCCTCTCGCACAGTGACTCGGAGGAGAAGCCTGCAAACTGAGCGTGCAGAGAGAGGGAGAAGAAGGAACGTATGACGTTTGTGGATCAATTTTGGTTCATAACAGCCAGGTTCATACTGACCCTTCCTGGTTGGTAAATATCTTTTTGAGTAACACTTGAAGTTCAAAGGGCCCTTTATGCTTTTCATCCCAGGGTGCTTGGAATGCCCGTTCAGTAATACATCCAGGATTTATCATCTCACAAACTAAAAGTTGCTTTCATAAATTAACAAAACCCTTGACTTTACATCTCTTCTCTACTTACTGTTATACTATATTTTGGATTTTATTTATTGATTAAAACGTACGGCTACGGTTGCTGAAGTTCGGCAAAAGCTCCAAAGTCTCGGTCTAATACATGCTGTGCTCTCTCTTTAACATCTATAGATAGCAAAGTCACCTTGTTCAATGTTACGTAATAGACCAAACCATTATTACAGTAATCTGCTTCATCGACCTCCAGACGCTGTGTTCTGGCCAAGTTTAATAGTTCACAGAGCATAAAGTTTCCTTGATGATGACAATGTGAATGAGGAGACTGAGGACTCTGGACTCACTGCATAACTGGCATTGACTGTCCTGCCTGGCTCCGTCTAGGATTTAATTTCACGGAAAGCTAATATATGGTTGATATTAACAGTCACACGAGAATCTAAGAGGCCGACATTGTGCCAGATATCTTTATATTATTAAGTGATGTTGATATCTATGGAGCCAAATCCAGGTCAAACGTTTTGTTCATTTGAAAAACAAATGTGAACCTGAAAGTTAAAGTTTTGTTGTTGATCATTGTAACAATGTATTCAAAATAAAAATAAATATACGAAAAATATTTTCGGGATGAATATAGTTTTGACTCAGCTCTCTATTTTTTTAAAAAATAAAATATATATTTTTTCAATCTTCACTTATATTTATTTTTTGATATTCACCCTATTATATTTTTCATTTTCAGATTTTATATTTTCAGATTTCAAGTATAATGAAAAACAAACCTCAGAGTTGGAAAATGGTCAACAGTGACCAAGCACACATAGTCACTGACACCTAAGTCTGGCAGAAGCTCGCCATAGAAAGTCATAAAGGGATCTTGGAGCAGCCTGGAGATATTTTTAACAGGGCTACTAACCCTTTGTAAGGACGAGGAATGTTGAAACGCTAAAATGGGGTTGGCTTCCTTGCAAAACCGCAAAGACTCTGTCGCCCACCCGAGCTAGATACAGCCTATAAATGTCTGACCCACATATTGAGTGCATGTCTGTCAGTGCCGCGTTCACACAGAGAACAGCTGATGGGAGCACGGCAAACACTGCTAGCCTGCTGTACATGTTTAACAATGCTCACATATCCTGTCACTATTCCATACATACACACAGAAATATTTTGAATGAAAACCGGATCATACTTCTTACCACAATGGAGTGAACAGCGCCGATCCTTGCACAGGCCAACATGGTGTACACCAGCTCTGGGATCATGGGAAGGTAGATAGACACCCTGTCTCCCTTTTTTACACCTTGTAAACAGAAACAAGCACATTTGATCTTTTGGATAAAGCTCCATCTTCTCAAACCAACAATGGCAATGTAGCTCTATGGTGAGTTTCAGTGTGAATATGCCAGATGCTGCATGTCTTAATATGCAAAAAGTGCATTGGACATACGGCATATCTGTCACTGTCATTGTGTCCCTCTCATGGTTCTATAAGCTTAAACATGTTGGAATCAAGCAATAATTGTGCCATGTGTTCATGTATGTCTGGCTTTACTCAAACTTTGAGGTGCTGAAGGGGTTTTGAAAGAAAAAAAGAATCTTCATGTTTAGCTACAAACAGATTTGCATGGACATAACTTTGTCTGTTCGAAATTTCTCACCCATCTGCTTGAGGACATTAGCACAACGGCAGACCTGGCTCAGCAGCTGGTGGTAGGTGATGGCCATGTGGTGGTCAGGGGAGTTCCCCTCCCTGAGAGGACGATACACAAGGGGAAAATACAGAAGCCAAAACGAAAGCCCAAACTCTCCTAAACTTAGCATCACTCTTATCTGCAAACTAGACACTCCGAAATGTGACTACTTGTTCATGGGCAGCAATTCAGCCAGCGAAACCTATGACAATAGAGCGCTGACACGTCCTTGATCTTATGCAAATGGTAGATGCAGTGACACGATCACAGAAAACGAAACACACTTGAAATACTTTTCAGTGTCTTATTTTCTTCTTAAATCTATATTCACACCATCCTACCATTTCACTTTTTTTTGGTAAATGTAGCATGACCATGGTGTGAGCTAAGGTCGCTTAAGTAAACAATCTATCTTCTAACTTATAACTTGAATGTAACCGTGGGACTACAGTGGATGGACCATATTCTTGTCATGTGACGTGCTAAAACTGGCATAACAAATTCTTGAGCATGTTGGTGCTGTGATGTAGTGCAAACAGCCTTAAGACACTCGTGTGGGTGATGGCAATGCTCCGCTCTGCCCAGATTCAATGAACCCACATTACTGCTGAGCTTGCAGAACCATTATTTGTTGTTTTGCTAAGCCTCTTCTATTGACAGAGTAAATATGCACCTTATTATACGGTCAAAACTAAATAAAGCCTCTTTTAGGTTTAGTGGAAATCGCAAGCTTGAGAGAGTTCAGTGAGGAAATACACGAGCCCAAATCATGTGAACTTTGGGGAAAAAGGATCCGGTTGTGGTTCTTTGTTTATTTCGAGCTGCGAAACATTGAAGCACTGACACTGTTGCACTAGCTGACGTTTGCTTCGGTGCACTGGTTCAGCACTGGAATCCCTGACATAACGCCAGGAACTAATTCCCATCATGTCATCATCCATAGGGGACAGAAACGCTTACCAGTAATAGGCAACCTTTTCACCAAGATTCCTCTCCCTCACAAGCCTGTCCAGGACATTATAGCAAATGTTGGTTTTGGCCCCTTCCATGCATTTAACATAAATGCTCCCTTTTGTCACATCAAAGTTGTACTTCAGCATTGGTCCTGTTGCTGGCTTCTTCCAAAAGAACTCATTAGCAATCTCTTTCCAGAAAGCTGAAACAAAATAATATTTCATGTAAGTGTTTCTTGCTGCGGAGCGGGCAGATAAACACAGAGAGGTAAGGCATAGTCAGGCTCAGGGGGAGGTGGAATCCAAGAAACTCTGCAAGTACTGCCTTAAAAATACAGACGTGTTTGACCTACCTTCTGGATTTTCAAGTGACTTCCTGTACAGTGCCAGATACGAGTTAAAATCAGGCACATGAGCATCACTCTTCAGGTCATCAGGAGGGTAGTATAATTTCCCCTGGGATTCAGGAACAACCATTGTGGAAGGACAGATGCCTATTTCATCTATCAGGGTATATCAGAATATGGGTTAATCTGGAGTCACAGCAGATCTGTCTGGATCCTCCTGAGTATAGTAAGAACGCTACAAGGCCTCTTGTTCTGAAGCAACCCAATTCGACATAGAGACCAACCTCTAATCCATGAGCTGCAGGCTCACTCAGTCTGTTCAAGGCCAGGTCAGCCAATCGGCCTGCAGGGTGCAACACTCCCACTTTTTCATTGGATCAGCACCCTCTGGCCTGTTGATGGCACTATTTTTTTTAAGAAGCAGGACGAATGCCGGGCATTCATGTAGGCATAAGACAGTTTGATTTGACAGGGTGGATGATGGGGAGAGAGGGCCGGAGAGGGGCAGAGAGAAAACAGCTATTTACACATTTGTTATGCAATCTAATGGTTCATGTTAAGCAGCTTTTAACAGACAATTCCAAAGCAGAAAAAGAGTGAATATTTTTTATTACACATTATTACATTTTAATATAGTGAAATGTGTATAAAAATGATATAATATCACATCTGAACACTTGTAAAATAAAACAATGTTAAAAAGTGCTTCTTTGTAATGTATATTATATTATAAGTTACAAATCAAGATGCAATTCAAAATAGTATTTGATCTTCGTTTATAAGGTTATATGATGTGAAGTGACAAAGCATTGACGATCAGGGATTTTGTTTACCTGCTGTGAATACATTTTTCGTTACTCTCTCTTTAATAAGGCTGGGTTTCTGTCTCAAATTTCACTCTGGGCTCGATTCTGTTGCTCTGCGACTTACGTGTGACGTAGTGGCCCACGCCAGACCTTTGTAATCGAGCGTGAAAGCGCTTGTGTTGATGTCGGCTGCTGCTGTCCACTGCGTTTGTTAACACACTTTGGAACCAACCTTCAAGCCCCGAGATGTTCTTGTCCGCTGTAGTTCGCTCTGCCGTATCGCAGACGGTATGTTTATGATATTCGTTACGGTTGTGGATAAAAATGTAAAGTCCCCTTTCCAGCATTTGGAGAAAAATGCATGACTCCTCACAAGGGCAAGTAGCGGAGGCCGCTAAGCTAGCGTTAAGTAACGTTGGGGTAACATTAGCCTGCTAGCTCATTGAGCCTACTGCTGTCAAACGTTTACCAGGTGATTGTTGGACAAAATTGGCAATTCAAAAGAAACATTAGTATGTAAGTACATGAGCGATTGCGTAGTAGAAGCAATTTGAGTCAAAACCCACTGCTGTAACTCGCTCGATGATGTAGTTAGCGTTAGCTGTTTTGTTAAGTCCCCTTAACTTAATAGATTGCATGCTATGAGGGTTTGGGTTAAGTCTAGGTTTACTGCTTTGATTTTCTTCCACTGTTTGGTTACAGTAGACTTATAATAATACACATTAGACTTGAGAAAGGGGTAAAAGCCCCCTGTTATTTTATAATAATCTTATATTTCTCTTAATGATTCACCTATTAAGATTCAAATTAGTATATCAAGGATGTATGTGACTATTTTACACCAGACCTGGATTTCTGTAACATACCCGTGTAAATGTTAATAAAGTAAATCTCTACAAGTTATTGCCTCAACTTTATAGATAGATAGATAGATACTTTATTGATTGAACGAAACATGCTCCCTCAAAGGACTCTCTTTGAATGTTCAGTATGTATTCGCACCCTAAAGGGTATTTTATCTGACTCCTTTGCCTCTGTATTCGCAGGCCAGACAGGTCAGGAGTCTGCATCGGTCTGCTGCACGTGCTGGAGCTGGTGGCATCTTCGTGGTGAGTTACATTGTCTTTGCCAAAGTCAAGAAGTTTGCAGAAGAATTGGGGTAGCTAGCACAGAGTAGACACTTTATTCAGGGCTCGTTGAGCACTGTACAATTCACTTTCAGTGTAAAACTGGACACCGTGCTTCACATTCAATCAGCAGCTAAATAGAGGAACATCAGGATAGTGGATTGTCATGTGGTCAATAAGCTTCCACCCAATTCTGTGAGATGAATGGTCCCCAAAGCTCAGCAAATGGGTACAGAATATTAGGGATTTTCAGTTCTGTCAATCTGATTTAATTTGAGCTCTTAAATAATGGACAATTTTTTCATGGAAAAGCAGTGAATGCACCACAGACAACCTCTTTTTTATCTGGTGGTCAGAATATTCTATATTGTCTAGATTAATATCTGTCAACTGCCTTTATTGTAAAACCTTTATTGGTGTGATAGCCCAGTTGTAATAGAGTACATGCACATATTTTACACCATTATGCCTTACTATCATCACTCCGTTATGTCTTTTGAGTGGGGAGAACATTTGGCATATTAATATACTGCGTTGAAACCTCATGTGTAAAATGTTTTTTTTATGGTGTTTTTAAATGGGTGAAGAAAACCTGTTTGGAACTGAGATAATATATTTTTATGAAATCATTTTACTCCAGAGTCTACACACGATACTGATAAATACAAATAGTTTACAACCACTACCTTAATTCAGTTGAGTTGTGGACTGCACTTACCTGTTATTTATTACCTTACCTGTTATGATATTATTTGCCTGATTTAGCGATATGTTTGCTTTCATTTTTGCTGTAATAATCCCGACGGTGTCGGTGTTCAAAAGCTCTTAATTTATCCCTGTAGCTTCCATGAGAGCCCATTAGAGCCATGCTGTGCAACAAAAACATCACATGTGGTATTGTCATGTAATGGAAACACGCCATGGTTTCATCGTCCCTTGATGGTAGAGATGTTTTTAATCTGCGATTGCAGTACAGTACGTTTGGCTGACTTGTCTCTGACTTGAACTCTTTGGGAACTGGGCATCCTGTCTTTATATAACTTTACCTCCAAACTACATTTTATTTCATGTTATTTTTATTTCACAAAGGATAGTTGCTGCTCACAAGGGGGCTGTGTGTGTGTGTGTGTGTGTGTGTGTGTGTGTGTGTGTGTGTGTGTGTGTGTGTGTGTGTGTGTGTGTGTGTGTGTGTGTGTGTGTGTAAGCCCAAATAGTTGTTATCTTGGTGAAGTCTTTCCAACGGTCTGGTAGCAGCACCTGTTTTCCCCTGCGGCATGATGGCTTATTCCAATTTGATCAGATCTCGTGAACTACACACATGCATGTTACTCACATGGGAGTGGAAGTTGTTGGTTAGAAACATCCATAATTTTGAGGCATCATATCCATGTACAATAAACCTTTTTTTTTTTAAAGCTGGTATAAATATAAGCTGTCTGATGAATGTTATTTGAAGATGAAAATGATAGTTATATCTCTGAAAGAAACCATGTTAACTGTCCTCTATAAAACCTGTGTTTTTTCTGTTTTAGCACAGAGATACTCCTGACAACAACCCAGATACTCCTTTTGAATTTACAGAGGAGAACAAAAAGGTAAGGCCGATATCTGTGTTGAGCAGTACATTCTTTTTCTTCCAGTATTGATCATTTATGATTTGTCTGTACGAGTCTTTAATTAACTAGTTGAACTGTCCTGTGTTTCAGCTGGACACATTTGAATGTTTTTCAAACCTGAAATATGATTCAGGGGTTTCACATCCATATATATGTATTTTTGAACTAACTATTTGGTTTCATTCTGCTTCATATTACATTTTAACACTGGTATCATTCCATATACCAGAATTAATTTGTCCCTTGTTCAGGGAATGATTTTCTATAAAAATGTTAAAAGCCTTTTTTTCCTCTTTGATCCCTTGTAGAGGATTGAGGCAATCATTTCAATGTACCCCGTTGGACACAAGCAAGCCGCCACCATCCCGGTGTTGGATGTAGCCCAGAGGCAACATGGATGGCTCCCTGTCGCCGCCATGAACAAGGCAGGATTTCTTCAGCAATTTGTTTTAAATTAAATTACTTTTTAATGGAAGGCCATACAATCCCATGTCTTATGTGTCACGGTGTTTGTAATTCTTTCAGGTGGCTGAGGTTCTGGAAGTGGCTCCAATGAGAGTGTATGAAGTAGCGACATTCTATACAATGTTCCTGCGTCAACCCGTGGGAAAATACTTCATCCAGATCTGCACAACAACACCCTGCATGCTGTGCAACTCCGACAGCATCCTGGAGGCCATCCAAAACAAACTGGGTAACATTTTCCATTTAATATTGAGGCACCAATGGAGGGATCAAATCAGGGATAAGATGATTTAATGTTTTTTTAAATTACGATTTTCTTGAGATAAACAGAGGTTGAGAACACACTTTAAAATACACAGTTGTTTCTGCAATTAAACAGTGAACAGTAACAGCAAACAAGACAACATATCGTCCTTACATCGAGCCAGAGAACTTCTGCTAACTTACTTCAGTGTGCGTAGCATTTAATAATGCATCCCCATATTATATGTTATATTATTTCAAACCCACCAACCAGTGGTGCTCTACTATTAGTTATAACTCCCTTTAGCTGTGTAATGTCAGGTAACCCTGCTAAAGTTCAAATGAGATGTTGTTTTGGTAATGTAATCTGCATCTTTTTTAGAAAAGATTAGTTAAATAATCTTTTTAATTGTTTTTTTTCCCCCACAGGTATCAAGGTTGGAGAAACCACCCCTGACAAGATGTTCACCTTAATAGAAGTGGAATGCCTGGGTGCCTGTGTGAATGCGCCAATGGTCCAGATCAATGACAACTATTATGTGAGTGTTTGTCTACCCTGTGCGTATGGCCTCCTGAATGAATAAGACAGTCAATTATTTACTGAATTAGGTTAAAACCGGAAATTAGCTTTTCAAATAATGTCTGCAATACACCTCTAAAGCCCTTTTCAGGGGTCCCACCCTCTTTCTCTTTTCTTTGGAAGCCAATGCAGATGGGATTCAGCCTATGCTTGTAGGCTCATAATGAATAAATAGAAACCATGGCAGAAAAATAATCGGAAAAATGGGGCTGGATAACAACGATAAAATTTACGAGCCAGACACAATATAAAAATCTTGCTTTTTTTGGAGTTGTTATAGTATCTGAAGTTATCCGGCACTCAATATCCTTGTGAGGTTTAGTTGCTGAGCAAAAGTGAATGACGCATTTGAAATAAATGTGGCTGAAAAGGGAGGAATTATTTAAGATTGCGGAGGTGTGATCAAAGCAGGCAGGACAGGTGTAATGTGTTGTGACATCAAGAGTAAGGTGGTACAGAGTTTAGCATTCGATGTGAACAATTGGCCCTCAGTAATGCATGCATTCAGTATAAGAATCATTCCATCACCAATTTCATGGATTTTGAGTTGGATTTTTTTAAGCTTTTGTAAACGATCACGTGGCGTCAGCACTGAGGCATCATTAGTGTAGCTGATATGCCCGTCAAACAGCATGTCTGATCGCTCTGTGATGTCCAATTGATCTTCTTAATCTTAATGTACACTAACAAAGCAAATTATGCCGTAGCTGAGCCATTTGTAATTTTGTTGACCATTCATTGATTCATAGTTGCAAAACGCAACCTCTGTGATTTGGTTGTGTATAAAAAGCATCTATGTAAGCGGTCCTTATTTGGTTACCCGGGCTAGAAAATGAAATTCATTGAATTATTTGGCACAGTTGTAACGATTTTAGCAGTGACTTCAGGAACACCATAATATTATCTTTTTATAAGGAAATACATTAACAGTTCCATTATCTGTTGTAGTGAATACACATTTAGACATGTTGACTATTTAAGTCATTTTATCTGCTAAAAGTGATGTTATTCTATTTTAAAATAGTTACGTAGGGATTCTGATTTTTAATTGACAGGTCAAAACCTACTTTGACTGAATTTGTATATAATGCTAATAGTTTGCTGAACTAAATTAGTCCGTATCACAAACGTTGACACAGAGGCTTTTATGTTTTCCCTACAAAAACACAGCATCTCTTCACACTGCTAAGAAGTTAATTCTCTAGTGGAAAGCGGTGCACTTTGTGGCTTACGTCTCAATGATCCTGTTTTTTTCTCGTTCCCAGGAGGACCTCTTGCCGAAGGACATTGAGGACATTATTGATGAGCTAAAGGCAGGGAGAGTCCCACCACCTGGGCCCAGGTACATACAAAATCTGATTTTTTTCCCGGTTGATTATCAATTTGGTTGTTGATTTTAATTCATGGTTAGTTTTGTACATTTACATTAAAACTTATTCCATTTCCCCTGTCCTACAGGAACGGGCGTTTCTCCTGTGAACCAGCAGGTGGATTGACCTCTCTGATTGAGCCTCCTAAAGGACCAGGCTTCGGTGTGAGACCGGACCTGTAGGCTTTTTTTGGCCAGCATTTGCTTTTGTTGAAAGCAACTTGTCCCTGAAGCTAATATTATGCTTAATTCAAACACGTTGTGTAAATAAATTGTTCATATACCTGTGCTCACTGTGTCATGGTGTCACTTACATGTCAAATGTATTAACAATTTGGTCTGTGACAACAACTACAGTTCCATTAGTCGAACAGTTTTGCTTTATACTCATCACTTGCTCTAGGAATCTCATACTGTAATTATTTTCTGGAATGTTTAACAAGCATGCACTTGATGAAATTATTCTGGCAGGTCTATTCCAAGTTAATATTGCTAGATAATACTGTGTTTTTTTAATTTTAGACTGCCTTAACAACATCTGGCCATCTGCAAAATAGATGAATAAATAAATGAATATTCCAGTTAGGAAAAAAATACTTTAATTAGTTGAATATTACAGAGCTTACCTTACAATGCTGTGCTCTAAAATAAAAGCAGCGTATGTCAGTTTGAATCAGCACAAAAAATGTGAGAGCTTTCTCCAACAAGCTCGTAAAGGGTTTCACTTGACAACTACAATCACAGTGAGCACATTCAAATTCCTTTAAAAGAGTCATATGTGTATCAAGTGCAATTGTGGCATATTAAAAGTCCATTCACCTTAAACAATTTAAAAACAATACATCCAAATGTGTTTCTTCTCAGAATTCTCAATGATGTCAAAGATAACATCAAGTTATTCATATTAATTTACTGAATACATATCAGATGGGCTTTTTACAATCTTTTCAAAGCTAACAAATGCCATTTCAGAATAAATAATAATAAATAAATAATAAAGGGCATCACTAATCACAGCCACATGATACATTTTGAATTTCCGTTTCAACTGGTAAAAATATAAATGATTATGTCTACAAGTATAATGTGGATATTATTAATTGGAGGCAACCACTTCATTACGGAAAAAGACACTCCGGAGTCTCACTAATACAAATGTAATCGCCGGTATCCTAAATGAGCACTTTGAGGAGTCCAAATGTAATTATAGCGATGTCAAACGATTCATGAATTCCACATATATTTAAAGTTAATCCGGTTAATCTTTTATAATTCCCTACACAGCCCTTTTCCTACAATTGCTCCTGACATTTCCATCTTGCCCCGGTGGCGTTTCGTCGTGTCTAGCCGGCGCCCCTCCCCCCGCTCCGGTTTCCTCTTGCGCCTTTCAAACCTGCTCCGCAACATATAACGCTGTGCGGCATGACGCATGCGCACAACGCGCGCCGTGATGCAAATGTCACTGCGCAACCTATTCGCAGCTGGTCTATGCATAATGCGTTGGCGGACGTATAAACGGGGCGAATTCACACGGTCGGCCGATTAATTACCTCGACGACTAAAAAAAAAAATACGACGCCATGCTCACAAGAGATTACAAATGAGCGGCCATTCCTCTGGTAACCTGCGGCGCGATCTTCGAGAAAGTTCCCATTAACCGCAAACACGGCAGCGGAAAAGATGACGTCAAGTGCCCATTACTGTTCTCCCTCTCCTATTAGTTAAAACGGCAGATTTAAGCACCCACGGGCGTTATACACGCCACTAGCGGAAAAGGGTGAACGCGCGGAGAATGTTCTCAACAGTAAAAAGGCGCAGTTTTACTCACAAGCATCGACAGAAACGAGTTTAATCGTCTACAAACGTACCCGTCTATAGTCTATCCAGCAGACGGGAGACGTTTCAAGCTCGGCGAGGCTCACGCGGTCACGTGACTCCCGTTGGCCAATGACGACGCCGCTCGCGTGTTTTGCTGGGCTCTTCTCGGAGAGGACGGGCGACGAACGGCTGGGATGTTTTCAAAACCAGCGATGAACGTCACACAGCCGTAGGCTACGGTTAAGGACCGATATTTAGGAAATAACAGTTTATATTGCTTAACGTTCACCAGAACCCGAATGAGTCCGTGGGATACGCGCGAACCAGTTTGAAGGTAAGCGCAACACAAGGTTTGGTTGCCTTGTGCTGAAAGGAGGGAGGGGGGGCTAAAAATCCAAACGTTAGTTAACGTTAGCCATCTGGCTACAGCGAGCGTGCTAATGGTAAGCTAACGCGAAGTAAACTGCGTGCTGAATTTGAACGGTATGTGTCTGCGTGGGGGGCTCGGTACGGTTTGTGCGCCACGTGCGTTATACACATTGAATACCTCGTCAACTGGAAATCCACCCGTATCTGCGTCTAGAAACTCGCTGCCCCTTGAAGCGGGAAGACATAAAGCCGATAGGAAAATGTCGGGGCGAAGCACCGTGAGCAGGGTTAGCCCCCAGCCAGCGAGACACTGTCGGGCTGGAAACCAACCAGCTAGCTAGCTAGATTGAACGCCGGGGAGGGGGGGCGTTATGAGGGCAGCGAAGGGGCTCCGGTGGGCTTTTGTCTCGGGCTGCGATGTGCTCTCTCTCGTCTAGTATTACCATTAAAACATGGAGCTTGGATATCACTTAAACTGGCCGCATAGTGACAGCACACATGTGCAAAGGCATTTTCACGACGTAGCGTGTTTGGAACCCTGGCTGGTTGTGTTTACTCACCACAGTTCAGTGTAACATTTAAGCGCACAACACATTGCAGGCGGCGCGTTGGACGCAAGAACGAGACGCGGTGCGGTGGGTGGTGTTGTCTGCAACGATACGACCAGGCGGCCCAGTTCGTCCACCCGCAGCGCAGTTGTTGGGATAATTAACGTTACTATTATACATCTTGCGTTACGCATGTGGTTACGTTTAGGCGTTACATAAAATGAAGTAGCATAGCTTGATCACTAGGAGCCAGCGCCTTCTACAATACGACTGTGACATCTTGGGGGTGTGTTGCCCGATACAAAAGCTGGCTGTTTTTAGATGGCTGTCAATGCGGCGACCACATTTAAAAGCTATAATACGTCGAGTTTTTTTTACGTTTAAAGCACACAAGAGACAGACCTGTATGATATAATGTGTGTGTATGTATATATTAAAAATACTAAACATTTTTAGATGTAAAACATATATTTGTTTTTGTATGGCAAAGCGAGAGACACCCCTCAAAAACGTTCAAGGCTGCCAAGTGTTACCAGGAATGCAGACGGGGTTGCAGATGTTAAGGCTTTAAAAACACATTTTGCCACATAGTTTTTAATTTCGTGATCACAAGGGGAACTGGGCTTTATTTTTCTGAACACTACTTGATATATATTTATAATATAGCTAGCATGTTTTTTTATGAAGTTGTTTTAAATGGCAGGGCTGTCCATCTCGTTATCACACCGTAAAGCAGAGAGGAGGAACTATCAGGTTAAACTCAACCGTATTTAAATAACAGGAGAGAAAAGCTTCAAATCTTTTCTTTTGGTGTACACGTTTTGTAACTTAACCTCCAACAAGAGTCCAAAAAGATCCTGCAAATGTACTTGGCCACTGATCCCCACTATTTTACTTTTTTGTTTCAAAATATGTCCAATTCACTTTTTTTTTTTAAGCACCTTTTGTAAAAACATTGTCCATCCACACTTGCACGCCTGAAAATACACATCACACAACCATTCACGTGACGTATCATTGTACTTTCCATGAAAACCTTGTCCCGTTGGATACTTAAACCTTCTTCTGTATTTCCAACACACTCAACAAACTTAAACTCAACAAACTCGCGGAAAAAAAACAAGCTATTTGTTTCAAATCTACTCCTCAGGTTTGTCTACTCAATCACACTCTTTCACGAAATTACAAATCAACTTTTACTAGATGACTCGCTGTTTTCCCCCTCGGTTTCGTTGTTGATTTTTCTCCCACTCGTAGCTCTGTGAGGTCACATTATTTTTACAGACCAAAATAAGCCTAGATAGGCAAGGGAAAGTATTTCTTCTTAATGTCCATTGCCCCCTCAAAGCCACAAACATCCCTTTTGTAATGTCCGCTCCATACGGCTTATTATTAGTCTGCTGCACGTGCAGCTCGCAAAGCCCTTAAAAAGTACCATGCCATGTCTGCATTTCTGGCTGTAGGTGGATTTAAAAAATGCAGAATTTAAATGTATAACAGCCGTTATCATAGACAACAAGGTCATCAATTTGTCTAATTTGTTTCCCACGTGGTATTAACCACTAGTATTTGCTCCTGTAATCATGGCCGTTATTTTTTGGTGTGATGAATCAATGATACGCCTTGCCTGCGAAAGATTCAATCATTCGCAGAATTTAGTGTCTGCAACATCGTTACCCAAGTACCTTTTTTCCCTTTCTAGCGTCATTCGTGCGTGTATAATGGATCATTATGCTTTCTCGAAAAACTGCTGCCAGCTTATGCTATTTGTCGTTGAAACAGTGGCACACGTCAGAGTATAGTGGAAAAGTATGGGATGACGTTTGGCTTAACTGTTTTGAGGACATTTTACCTTTACCCTCAGACTAATATTCCGATACATCTTCTGTCTATTTATGACTCAATCTTCAAGAATTGGTTTCCAATTCATCAAAATATATATATAGACATCCATGCATTCTTTGACAAATGAGCATATTTGAGTGGGATTGGTACACGCCCCCATGGCCACTGTTTTTATGACGGTGTTAACGGCCGTGGTAACTTGTTTATTGTAAGTTAATGTGGTATTACTTCAAACTGCATCTTATGATGCTCCAACTCCTGCAACATTGCTATTAAAGGATGTGTTTAACGCTCACTATCCAACTGGCTAATAATCGGAGAAATGGACAGAATGAAATGATTTGTATATGAATGGAAAATTGCGGTAGTCTGAAGAGCTTTGACATTCAGCCAGGAAGTCAATTTAGTTAGTTTGGCAATATTATTGTCTTAGCTTATCTTGGCTACATTCAGTTCCAACATTCATCTGATCTTTCCCTTACGTGTTGAGTGTGAGGTTTGGCTGCTTAAAAAATGTGATTTTCCTCAGATTTTGGCCAAATCAGATGAGTCTGCAGTCGCGTTCAGTTTCACACGTGCCGTCCAGGCAAATGTTCACACGAGTAGAGAGAGGTACTTTGTGTGAAAAGGCCACGCAGATGCCTAATAAGAAATACAGCCCATGCAAATACACGTTAAGCCTCTTGGTTAAAGAATAGGGTATTGCACAGGGTTCTCTTAAGCACGAACAATTATGTAAGGAGATATGGTATCCCCTTGTGTTCTGCTTCAGGAGTTGTCTTTTCAGGCTGGATAGATTAGACACAATGCTCTTGGGCAGCTTATTTTTATAGCACAACACTACTATGTTGCATACCTCAGTAGATTGATGGATGTGTCTGTCAAACTTGTTTTTCATGACACATTTTAGGATGGTATATTGAGTAATTTCAGAAAAAAGTTGGCCTGGTAGCTAAGTGACCTTCACAATGAGGGGGGTGGTTGGGTATTTATCCACGCATCCATGTAATGGAAAATGAAGTGTTTTGTTATATACTAATCATACTACCTGGAATGTCTGTCAGACAACATAAGACAGTTCATTGGCATTCATTCCCGTTATGCATTTGTTCATGTTTTACAAAGAGTTCAACCTGAGCCAGGCCATCAAATGATAATTGAAATCCTATCAATTCCATACAGGTTTAGTTGATTACCACTAAAGGCACTGGTATGAAATAAGGCCGATACGTTTAGGTATTAGATTTCGTACGGTAAGAGAAAAAAAAAAAGCAATTAGAAAAGCCTTATCCCTCCTAAAGTTGATTGTGAACAACCTTTTGCATGAGAGGTGTAACCTGGATACATGTGAGACATTTGGACCAATATTTCGTCTTCCAGGTCTGTTCCCACTGCAGCACTTCCTCAGCAACACACGCCGGTTATGGAGTCGCACTCCAGTAAAGTATTATTGGCCTTTAACGTACAATAAATGCCCTTCCTCTTTTTTTTGTGTTGACAGATCCCAACAAGACAGTCTTTTAAGAAAACACCCTTAATGTTGAACGGTGGGAAAGGTTCTAGGTTCTAATAAATAAGCGCTGTATACAGACGTAATCGGGTTCCTTTATTTGAGACCGCTTAAAATCTGCTCAGTATTACCAATTTTTAGATTACGTTAATTGTGTTGCCGTTCAAATGCGATGGTGAAAGAAGAGATGAAATGCCTCAAGCGCAGCATGTGCAGTTGGTTCTGTTGGGTGCCGATCTTCGTTTTGAGAAGCCTAGCAAGTGAGTTTGTGTGTGTCTGTGTGTGTATTTATGTAGAGTGGGTGGAGCCTCCTGATTACACAACATGTGCCAGTCCTTACCATCAGCTGAATGTGTGTAGCGTATGAATGCCATATCTGTCTCATTTTATTTTGAGACTGACAATTTGAGAGACGGTGACCTTCCTGCAGGAGGATACACCATGACACTGCAAAGGGGAGGGAGGGGAGGAAAATATGGTTGTAATACTGCAGTGTTCTAGATTTAGTTATCGGAGTGTAATATTTCTGTTCATGAATAAGCACCTTGCTTGTGACAGGCAGGGAGCCTGGAAGGCAATTTGACAATGGGCATGTGGTAGCATTCCTCTTTGCTGGGTTGCTTTCACTTGACTGATGCCAAAGAAAGTGATCATATCCTGTTTACTCTGGCTCTCACAGTCACCATGTTTTCTGAGGAACAAGGACCCGCCTGTTACAAAATAATCTAATTAGTATTTGTATGTTGTTGTTGTTTTTTTATCACAGGATTTGTTGGATCGTTCCCTCAAACGTTTCTCTGACCTTTTTGCCCTGAACCTTTTTTGAGAATGGTCAAATTATGTTCGCCATCGTCAGTGGTGTGGTTTACTACTCATGTTGCTGCTATGCGTGTCTGTGCTTGTTTCTTTACACGTAAACTTGAACCGAAGCTTAAAAGCAGCACTGCCAACTATGAATAATCAATTTTCTGATCAGTTGCAGACACCGTTGATAAAATGACATGTAGTTACATGAACGTTAAACCGGTTTAGTTTCAAAGTCGTCTTGTTGGCACAGATGTA